AGCTAATAGTTTAGCAACTGTACCACAGTTAATTGTATATGACGATATACTTTTTACGTATAAATTGGGGACAGTATAAACTGTCATAGTACGAGGGCCGCATTTTCCTATTGCCCCATAAAATTCTCCAATTTATTGTGTATACTTTTAGATGACGTTTTTGAATACAAAAAAACATATTTGATTGTCTTCTTTTTATTGTGAGGAAATAACGTACGCAAATCTGCTATATATGACTTCCACGATTTCGCAAATGCAGCGAAATTGGAGGGACTATTATTGTATATTAAATTCTTGCAACAATAAGGAACTATTTTCTGCATAACACACATTTTTCAGCGTATGATTATTCATCCGAATTTCGTAACTTTGAGGGCGTTCATAACCCTCAGGTTAATAACTTAGCTAGTGCGTTAACCGTCTACACTGTAGACTACAGCTACTGTGCCGCTCACAAACAAATGAGAAAACAATCGAGCACTTAGCCAGTTACATAAAAAATATACCAATATCTTACACAGTTTTTTATTAAAAATCATATTAAATTTTAATAAAGTTGGCCCGTTTCGTCCCACTTACGAGTACCTACTACGGTCCGTGTAAGGTCTCAATATTGGCACTAATTATTACAACAATCATTATAAACATCAAATATTTCAAATTCAGTTTTTAAATACCACCCATATGTCAGTATTAAAAAAATCCTTCCTAATATACTTAACTAATTAACTATAACTGAGTTAATACTTATTAACTATAACTTAGGTATTACTTAACCAGCCAAAAATTCGCTTTGTTTATTCATGGAGCCATTACTTATTATAACATATTAATTTCGGCGATGCATTGTTTCTCCATATTAAATAATTCAGAACAATCATTCGGTTCTATTTCAGTAAATTTTAATTGCCAAGACCTTGCCTTCATTACTTGCCACGAATTAAGGCCACAGAAACATTAAACTGCTGGAGCTAAATTTAAGAGCACGCTTTATTTAAAGGAGTTCGCTTATCCATTCTTTAATCGTTTTTAGGACGACGCCTTGTTTATTTTCATTTTGGCTCATTAGTATACGAATACAAAGATGTTACCGCGTATCTCTCAGTGCCTACCAAGTATTTAGTTAGTTGCGATGGCTATCTAGTTAAGTTTTCAGCTGGATTGTCAAAAAAATTAAGTGCTCCTTCTGATTTATTCTTATAATTTTTATAATTTTTAAGCAGTGACGGAATTTTTCTTTTTTTATCATTCTGCAACTCCTTAAAATCAGTAAAAATGCTTAGAGCATTCCGTTACTCCTTCCATAGGTTTAAATAATTCCATAAGGTCGAAACTTTACCATGATCATCAAATTAATCTATCAAATATATGACAAATAAATAACCCTAAAAACTTGGGTTATTGTGTAGTCACACTACTTAGCCAGTTTTTGTCTATCATCTAATATTTAGTTTATTTGTAGTATCAAGTATACTACAAATGTCTAGATCTATCTATCTAGATGGAGCAACGCTAAACAAACAAAGCGCAAAAACCGTCTCCGTGTTATGTGTGAGAACTCGTGTACTGTAAACAAACTGTCAAGTGAAATTAGTAACTTAAGTTACTTAATTTAACCTATTAACTTAAGTTAAAACGTTAAATGAAGTAATTTGTTAATCGTATTTTCTTAAATTAATAGTGGTTAAATAACTAGAATTACCGATGAAAGGTGATGTGTTAAAATACGATTTTTCCACATAATTGCAACACGAGTTGAAGGCACATTATCCGTTAAGCGATTCAAATGAAACTGACGTAAGTTGCAAACGAGTCTACCAATTTTAGTAGACATTTTTGCGCCGTTCAGTACGGTTAATGTGGCATCTAGACAAGTATATAATCACAGCATAGCCTAGTATGTAATCAAATAAAGGTTTTCCTTTAATAATAAATATAAATACCTGTATAACAACTTAAAACTAACTGACAAAATTCAGTCACCGTTCATGCAAAATACATTTTGCAATTGTAATAAATGATAAAATATTATATGTGTGATATGTGCATTTACGGTTTCAATATATAAATTTACGGTCAGTTGAGATATGGAAATTTTAACGTGGATAAATTGGATAAGAATTTTTTAATTTATTTATGTATACGTGACTTCTTTTCCTAATTTTAAAACTCAATAATTATTAGATATTCATTTAGAAATTATTCAGTGTGCTGCAACAAACCCAAGTTCAAATCTCGGTACCGTTATCGATTTTGTCAGTAGCAATTTTAATTGCTTAAACCATGTGCTGAGGGAAATTGTCGTGAGGAAACCTGAACATCTACAACATAATAAAAAATATAAGTACACGTATTTCGAAGATATGACAAGAAGAAGTTTACTAATCCGCAATTAAGTCAGTCCTGTTTCAATCCACTGCTGAACATAGCCCTCCCCCATAGACTGCCACGAAGCCCGATCCCGAGCCACCTGCATGCACCCTTCGACTTCTCGCACATTTGTACAAATGACGCCTTAACCCAACAGTGGGGCATTTAATCCATAAGCCATTACTGTATTTAATCACACGCATTGTTTTTTTTTTTGTATTTTGAGCTCTACTTTTAATTTAACCTATAATCCTTATCAATCTAAGTAATAAAGTTCACACTAAATACGTAATAATAGTTCCTTACGACTAACAACTACTCATTCTTGGAAACCAACGAATAATCAAGGTTAATCTTATTACTCGGGAAGTTAAGAGCGTTGACACAAAAAATACTTCCATACTTAATCCTTTCACCTAATCTACTAAAATACATCACACGCACAGTCGAGTCATAGTATTCTAACAAAGCAATCGGCTACCAACTCCACGGCCAATAATAACATGCGGAGGTTACTTTTTGCATTTATTAACATCACAGAAGAACAAATGCATCGGATTGCATGATAAGCTCATTTTGGTTTACGTCTCGGGTCGGCGTACTTACGCGAGGAAACAAATACGGCATATAAATATGTTAAACAGTGAATAAGTTACAGTATCGTCGAATAACGGTTTGGTTGGAAGTAAAGTGCGTTGACGTTGAGAGTGGGTAGCCGTAAAAATATATATCCGCTGACATGAGGCTTGGACACATTTTGCTTGTAATAGGTATGAGCTCATTTATTTCTTCTTTTAAGCCCTTTACCAACTCTTATAAAGTTTCGTTTTTATGGTGAAATTTAGTTTCATCATGATAATTAGGAATAATGCATTTTTAGATTTCATTGAATATTTTCATTTATCAAAATGGTCACAGCAAATGTATGGACGAGAAACACACCATTTTTTATGTGAGAAGGTGGCAAGCGAGCTAGCGGTTCACCTGATGTTAAGTGATAATCGCCTACCATGGACATTTTCAACACTTAATAAAGTAGGCCCCGGCTACCTCTACCGTTACCATTTGAGGAAATACTTATAAAATAATCAAAAAATAGATTAAAGAAGTTTATTACTTAACTACTGTAACAAGTATGTCATATCGTATCGTTGCCAAAGACGAGAAAACTGACATCAACGACTGACATGTCATTAGCAGAATTCTATTATGATAGGCCATTAATCAAAAAGGTTTTAATTTTTTCGTTTACTTGATTGCAAAAAAATGTAGTGATGTTTGCCACGTAGTATTTTAATAACCGTGTAACTTCTAAAGCTTGGCCGATTGTGGTCACAATATCTGTTTTCGATAGACAAATTGATGAGAGTGACTTTGGTAGATATACATCGTGTACAGTTGTAACGACATACTATAGCGTGTACAGCGTGTTGTTAATCAAACATAAGAACGTTAGCTATTAGTCCTTAATATATGATATAGGTTTATATAGTCTCATATAGAGCATCTTCATATCATATATATAAACTTTATGATTCCGGACCTCTTGCCTGAAATGTTCCTAAAGTTCTTATCCTACGCAACCGAATCATTTCCGTCCAATATTAATTCTACCCTTTCTATCAAAAATTCTGGAAGCTTGTGTTCGCAAGCAAACTTCCATAATTTAGAATAAACATAACCTACTGAGTATCTATCGGCATGGAAGATAAAAGGTAACTGTGCTACTGCTTGTGGACTTTTCAAACGCTTTTAACACAGTCGACCATGATATACTCCTTTCCATGCCCTCCCATATTAATTTTGCAGACTCTGTTATAGATCTGGTTTTCATCTTATCTTCGTGGGCGTCAGCAGTCAGTCACCTTGGGGCAAAAAAGCTCGCTTGGGCTGATGTTGAATCGTTGTTTTTTCTTTCTCATTCTGACTCCTGCATTAAGCATGTGGCGACTCATTTACTACTGTGTAGCTCTTATCTCTTACAGTAAGGATACTGTCATCGGTCTAGCATTACCCTAATATTGACAAATGACTATAGCAACGAGTGATAATAAAAGATTATGGTTTTCTCAACACGGCTTGTTTTTTGTACTGCATCTTAATATTCCCTCCTGCCGGCTCCCAAAAGTATCTCACTAGCTCGCTTACTCGATTCGATGCGGAGTCGACTTCGAATCGGTAGTTAGTATTAGCATTAGCGAACTGCCGCCCCGCTAGTTGTTACCAAACCATTGCTAATTTGATAAAAACAAGGCCTAACAGCAGAAAATTCTGTAAAATATATTACATATCTTTGAAACTGTTTTTACGTAAGTTTACTTTTTGTAATGAAGTTCTCGATACTGAGTCAAAAAAATCGAACAAAAAAAAAACGGGTTTAAAGTGTTTGACATTGACAATAGACAGCTTTAAGGGAATAAATAAATACACACAAACAAAATAGAAAACACGAAGTTCTAATTCTTAATTGATATAAAATTCCTTAAAATAATGAAAATTATAAAAATAGATCTTCCTAAATATATAGCATTCCATGTATCACTTTATATAACAAAATTTTGCCATTTATGAGTGGCTTTTGTATATCTAATATTTGAACTTGAAAATTAACAACACTCCATGGAGAACCAATGATAGAACTTAGTAAGTTTTGGTAGGTCATATATTAATTTCGTGACGTAATCAGTAGTATGGTTTGTGATGCTTACCTGCATCTTTAATTTAAAAATGACTGTAACATTACTCTCGTAAAGATATATCTTAAGTATTTTAATAGGTTACAAGCCTTAAAGCATTGTATATAGTTATTTACCTTTACAGCTTCAATAATGGGTGAAGATAGTTCTGCACAATCATTAAATCTAGAAAGCTGGATGGGTGAACTACCGGAACAATTAAAACATGTTCCATTTATATATCTCGCTATTCCAGGTAACATTGTAAGCATTAATATTTTTACCATATTTAAAAACTATGTACCAGTGTGTCTGCTATTATAAGTGTGCAAATTATATGTCTGACTTTACCTACCTTATATACCTTAAACTATAAATATATAACAGGAAGATGTTGTTTTATCATTATTTTTTTTTAATCTATTTCTTAAATCAGTAAAATCAAAAGCATCATTTCGAATATCTAGAATTTAAATTATAGTAAAATAAAAAAAAATATATTTAAATAAAAATATTATTTCAGGCAGCCATGACTCTATGACATATGGTATTTCACGTTCCAGTGGAGTTGCTCCAGATGCAGAGCCGATTATCAAGAAATTGTACCCTTTGTTTCGAGGTACGATATTACGTTGGACCATAACCCAAGCAATAGATACCTCGCAGCAACTGCTTATTGGCATTAGGTACATTATATACTCACAGACTTATAAACTAACATCATTTCTTTAAAAAATACTGTACATAGGTTGACTTACAAATTATGAATTTTCACTGATTGTTTAAAAACTTGGAAACTAACTAATCTTTGGAAATATTCATATATCCTGTAACTTTAACTTACCTGGCCCCCCTAAAAATCACAAAAAAAATTGTTTAAAAAAATTTCGATATTGACTGTTGCTTTTCAGAAAAAATGTTATGTATGTCCATTAAAATAAGGATGAGTATTCAAGACATAATAATATGTATATTATAAATACTAGGAAGAAGCATAAATTAATCCTACCCACAACTAGACTGTAGAATAAGTAAATCTATGGGACAATGTACAGGTTGCTAGAACAAAATCCCAGAAGACATTTAAAATATACCAATTGATAAATTTAAGAAAAAAATTTGTGTAAAGGTTTTTATAATATTAATGATTATTTAAATGATAATACACTCTGGTAAAGAATTTATTGCTCCAGGCTCTTTCAATTGGACTTTAATATACATATTGTAAACATGTTCTCACTGTCAAAAATGGTAAATAAAAAAATGGACAAGTTTCTTTCGCTGGTTCCTCTCAGGGTCAGTGGCTTATCTTTTACGAACTAGTTGTAGTATTTTGACAATAAATAAGTGAGCATAATGCTCCCATGTTGAATAAAGATGTTTGTATTTGAATTTAAAAATAACAAATAACATAATATGCTACATTAATTGATTTAGAGAAAGTATTCCTAAACCCAGTGTATCTTAGTAGAAAATAATAAACTGTTGTAGCAGATGCAGCATATTTTGCTTTTGCACAATAAATGAAAAGGGAAGTACAACACCTTACAAAAGATTGATAGGCTTAAAGTTGATAATGCATCTGAGGGTACTTTATGACTTATCAAGTTGACCACCCACTTGTCACCTCCTAACGTAAAAAAATATTTTTTTAAGACACAGTAACTGAGTAAAAGTAGAGGAAAATAAGTATTTTGATTTATATAGTCGATGAAATCATAAATTTTAAGTCTTATATGGATTTAATAAAAATAAAACAAAAATAGTTTTTGTTTTTTTGCTGGACTGCAAAATACTAAATGTTTTGATTGCCATTGTTTTCTTAATTTTCAGATACTTGGACTTAAGACTTGCAACAAAGACAGGTGATAATAAATTTTATTTTACTCATGGAGTCTATGCCAATGAAATAACAGAAGCTTTACACCAAGTTAAAGATTTTGTTGATACACATCCTGGAGAGGTAAATAAATTGCACATTTCACTTTTCTTGTAATTCATACATTCCTTGGGATAACAAATTATTATAATATATTACATAACTAGTTTAGCTGCATAAAATGACATGGGTGTTGCTACAATGGTTTTTTTCATAACTATTTTATAAATTACAGAAAGATTCATTGATTCAGTTTAGACTTGTTTATTTAACATCCTCTTAACTGTTTTAAATGTTAAAATCACATTGATTGTTCTGAATTTAATTTATGGCCTACTCAATTTCTAGGTAGTAATATTAGACTTTCAACATTTTTATGGCTTCACTCCAGATGACCATCAGCGCCTTATGAGAATTTTGTTAAACCTTTATGGGCCACGACTTGTTCCAAGGCAAATAGAATTGCAGAGTATTACATTGAATTCACTCGCCAGGCTAAAGCAACAGGTTAGTTTATATATATTTGCAAATATTTATATCATGTTGCTTTTATATTTTCATATATTTTGATATACAAATACTGTACTCATGAAGAATAGTAATCAAAGATGTGTACAGTATCTTCTATAAATGCATCTCTCTTATATGGTATGTTTATGTGGTAGGGCCACGCAGCAGCCTCGGCTGTTACACAAATGGGCAAGCTTGTGGGGGTAAGTACCAAAACCTCACAGAAGACCAACAATCTCATGGTAGTATAATACTTTCGTGTTTGGTCTGGTGAGTGAGGTTGCCGGAGCTCGATTTTCAAAAATGTTGTCAACGCATCTGGAACCCTCGCTTGGCAACTATTCACATAAAAAAAGAATGTTCTTGATTTGCACTCTATCTTCTGAAAACCCGCTTACCATTCTTCATAAGTGCTTGATTTTTGAAGGTGTTGTGTTATTATGTCAAATACACCATCTATTAATGTTAATTAATCACAAATACACATAGGAGAAGGATTGACCAAGGCCAGCTGAAATCTCTGTGTTTTTTTTTCACTCACAGTGCTAATAACTTACAATGAAATCTGCTACTAGTATCAATCACTTTAATATCAATATTGTCATTTATCCATGCTAAACAGCATAACACCTGCTAGTAAATGTCAACTTTGAAGAAATTTAAGACCATCAAATCCTATATGCTACAGAAGGCTAAATTTGACCAAAATAATCATAATAGTCTTCTGTGAGGATGAGATACTACTGTTATTCCATTATAGTATGTTATACCATTTTAGATAGTATATGAGTTACCCCAAAAGTGTAAGAGAGGTACCCCAATTTAATAATTGACTTAGATTTCTCATATAATGTGAAGCGGAAAATTTTATAAACATATAAAATTTTCCGCTATATATGCGCAGTATGGACTTGCGTCATATTTACGAAAACATTGACAATATTTTTAATGTACTGTTCATATTTTCAATATTATAATACCATTGAAATCCAGGCTTTTATTTTTATTGATGATGAAAACGATACATTTGTAAAGTTATTATTGACATTTACTAAAATATATGTGATTGTGAAAATATTAATCAATTTTGTAAAAATTTTCCAGGTTGTGGTTGTATACCGAAATCGATCTGTTTATGATACAAACGAGTTTTGGCAACCACAGATGTTACCGTCACCTTGGCCCCAGCAAGATCGAGTCAGCGGTCTTCTCAACTTTTTAAGGAATGTCAAACGTCATCCTGGAATGGGATTCGTGCACCAAGCTGTATTGACACCTACACCTGCTTTTATTTTATTTAGGTAAAGTTTGTTATCGCATAAAATTCCGTTGAACAATACATGAAGAAGAAAGAAATGTGATAATAACTTAATGCAGTTGCATTCGCTACATGGTGATGATGTAGAACTAATGCATACTTGTCATACTTTTTCAAGTAAAAAAAATATGTATTAGACTGCATGCCTCCTTGTTGGTACGTCCTTTGACGTCGTATCACAAAATTTATTTTGACGTCCTTACGTGCTTAAAAATTAAATTAGATTAAAAAAGACTATCTTTTATTTACAGGTGGATATCCACACTTCGCGATAAGTGTGCTGTTCCTGTAAAGGATGAGGTACTTCCCGAATTAATAAATTTCTCTCCAGGACCACCACTAGCAAAAGAGCTAGGCAATCAGTCACCAGTCAATGTTGTTATTGCAGACTTTGTTGAAATGGACAACGCAATATTTTCTAAAACAATTATACAGTTGAATATGAAGCTTCTAAAGAACTTAATTGATCATAGTTAGGATAAACTATAAGCCTTTAGATATATTGCTTTTACATGTACCTGTCATATTTTATATATATGCCTATCAAGTGAATGTAATGGAGAAATTGCATCCTTATCTTTATCAGATACAATTTCCTTAATAACAGAGCTCTCATTAAGTTTAATTCTATTCACACGGCTGGACCAATTAGATAAGATTTCTTTTACTAAATAAAATAACTATAATGTAAACATGGACTTGATAATATTTATCCGAATACTACATATTTACTATAATGTTTTAATAAGTTTAATTATTGTTACTTTATTAACTAAGGACGCATAATTTTTAATAGTCTACAATAAATATGAATCTATTTTATAAAGCCGTTTTAATTTTTAAAACAATTTCAACTTCAATTTATTTACACATTTGTTTCACGGAATGTTTTATTGCAAAAATCATCCAAATCAATTTTGTCACAAAGGTCTTTAAAAGACCATTTATTGTTTTTTGACTTTTCACTATCATTGACTTGCAATTTTGCGAACAACTCATCTGACAAATCATCGGAAATTTCGATTATTTTGCAAATCTTCTCTAAGCGTCCTAAGTCTTCTAAAGAATTAGTCAGATCATTGATGTATATAACTTGCGATTGCTTTTCGTTAACATCAAACGAATTCTCCGAATTAGTTGCACTCGTGCTGTCCAGTTTGTCGTAGATATCTTGCGCTGGTTTGTTAGTATAAGTTTTTATTGAAGTATTTATATTTTCTTGACACGAGTGCAATGTTATATATTTACCGGGTAGATTTTTCTTCAGTATAATGTTTTGTATGTCTGTGGTCCGTGGTCGTAAAATCTCACTTTCGTCTTGCTCTATCTTAAAGTCTTCAATTTTTCCTGCGATAATACGTTTAGTTGAATATTCCACAGAGTTGTTTCTCAACAGCTTGGCAATGTTTATATCGTCCTTAGATATATTAATATTTCCTACCTTTGCAATTTCATCGTGTTTATTTTGTTTTTCACAATTTTTATTCGTCATAATATCTTCTTGGATATTGGGATTACTGATTTGTTCTGAATTACAAGAATGAGACTTTTCATTTTGAGGCTCTGCAGAAGCTTGCTTTGGGACTTTTGGTTTTGAAGAAATTACTTCTTCGCTGCCTTTGTCGCATAACGTTTTATCTTCATTTTTTAATTTACCATCACCTGCACAATAAGACAAACAAAAATATAGGAAAGGAATTAACGGACTATGAATAATCTGGTTTTGGTAACACTTTTAATTTCATAATGAACATTTTTACCTTTAAAACAAATTAAACTTTTCGTTTCCGCGATGATATTCTTATTGACGTCTCCACAATTGATCATATTAGGATCGCCTTTTTCCGTAGATTCATCATTGGAAAGTGATTTTTGATCATCATTTAATTCCTTTTCATAACGATATATAAAACAACCTTTACATCTATAGTTGTAGTAATTTTTAGATTCGCTGTCTAAATGGTTTGGTATAGGAGCAGTTGAGATTTCATTATCATTTAAATTTGATTGTGTATCGCCAGATTTTTCTTCAGTTTTCGTATTTTTTTCTCTTTCATTATTTAATTTACACTTACAAGCATCGTAATTATTAAGTTTATTTGACTTTTTGATTAGTTTCTCTGTCATGTTCATCATTTTATTGACTTCCTTCTTTACATTTACTAGGCGATCATGTACCTTTACTTTTTCAGTTTGATCAGCATTCATTAATTTTAATGGATTGCAATTCTGCATATTTTGTTCTAAATTTGAAGTAGCTGGTACTGAATCGTAATCAATAATTTTAAATACATCGCTTTTACTTTTCGTCTCCAAATTGGTTGTTATTGTTGTTTGGTTCATTACAGATATTCGTGTAGTCGCTGGCATCTTCCTATGTAAAGGGTTACAATGTGATTTTATCTTAAAATCAAAAATTTTAGAATAATTTCTCAAAACATTTGGCAATGCGTTCGCACTGCAATCCCCACCAAAGCTCATACACTGTCTAAAGCTTCCTGGGGAATGTTGTTTTAAATTTTTCTTCATTAGAAGAGAATCGTTAATTCTCACTGGAGCTATTTGCGCCTGATAGAGTTGTCTTTCGGAGTATAAAATCGTGTCGATCACCCGACATGCATACGAAAACTCATTTTCATACCAGCAAATAAGCTTGTAAAAGTTTGGTTTATGTTTTATACTCGAATTGACATCCAAGATACAGGAATGGCTGTCTTTTATGAAATCAGACGACACCGCTTCTTCATTGGATATGTCTAAAACCCCTTTCAAGTAGGTTTTACTCGCGTTCTTCACGCTTTCGACAATCCTTTCCAATGACGTGTCTTTGTTTAACCTATTAAAATGTATAAATATTTTTTATTACAGTGTTCGTAACAGGTCCAATACCATTTAGTTACAACAATCCTCATATATTTGGAAAGGTATTAAGACCTTGACGTTTACTGGGAACATGGATCCGATTCCGGTAAAAATAAAAGGCTTGACATGACAAACCTTTAGTTGTGTATTATGCAAAACAACACGACCACTATTTAGAAACTTTAAATACCCAACTAAATATTTCTTTTTTTATAGTGTATACATTTTTTATATCTTTTTGTATTGCAATACAAATAGTGGATTAGTACGGCTGCTAGGCTGAGCTCGATTCCCCGGGATAAGTATTTTTATGACCATCGGATGATTTGTCCTTGTTTCAATTGTGTTTGAAGAACGCTTCTACACCAAAAGTTTGTCTCATCCTAATGTAGGGATAATTTTAAAAATTAACAATGAAAATAATTGTTTAACCTGAGAATAACTGCCCTACGTCTAGGCGTCCTGGCAAGGATGACAATTTGCATTTGCGTCTGTATAGACAAAAAGTGCTAACAACAGGGTGAAATAACATTACAGAAGGAGCATATTGTGTAGATCATATAATCACCATACGCATTCTTTATATTTCGAATAAAGTAGACGAGGCTGGTCTTATGTAGAGGAAGTGAGTTTTAGCGTTAAAAATAACGCTACCATGGCATTTGTACACACCGCACGGTCAAATCGAGCACCGATACATTCACAATCGGCACCCGAAACGCCAATCCGACCAATTTGTCTCTCAGCTGCGGCAGTATTTTGCCGAGGGCTTTGCAGGCGCCCGTTGTTGCCGGTATTATGTTCTGGTGGATGCTTCTATAATCGCGCCAATGCTGGAACAATGCACGCGACGGGGAATATGCCGGTTCAATTTAATTAGACGACACGAAGTGCAACAGATCGGTTCAATCGCGTTTTCAATTATACAATATACAAACACATTTGTTACATTTACATTTGACGTTGTTTACGTTTAAACCACGGCGTCAATTTTCATCGGGCACAGAACTCTTAAAATGGCTAGAGCTGGAAGACTCTTTCGTAAGGGCTATTTAAGACTATATGAGTAAACACGCATTTACAAATATGCTACAATCAGGACCAACCCTTTTTTTTAAAGCGATGGTAAGAGACCAGTCCCTTCTACTGATGTTAAGTAATTACATCTACCTTAATACACTATATTACACTCCGTTTTTTATATGTATCGTTTCGTGGACATCTATCTGTAGGGCCATAGAAATGTTCCAACTTTAAAGAGTGCGGTCCAGCTACCTCACTCACAAACTCAAAATTATTACACATCGACTTAATTAGCCAGTCGTACTAGACTAGAAAAGGCTGCCCATTCGTACTACAGCCGAAATTGTTGCGAGCGATACTACAGTGAAATCTTACTATAATTTCATTCACCGTTCAAACAATATACACATAGTATACAATATATATTATAAACCTTACATACATAAACTTAATACATACTTTACCTTTCCTCTCAAACACAATCCGTCTAGCGGTTTCAATGATGGTGTCATCGCGTGAATACTAGTGACGAAACCCTCCGAGACACCAAAATCGTTTTCTAGCACTTTGATGATTGGCGCCAGACAGTATAGGGTGCTTGAAGCGCTTGATATCACTTTTTGATCTGTAAATAATAAAGTATATGTACTACTGTGTATAATCTTTACATAGTATTAGAAAAAGGTCGCTCCCGCAGTTTATACGCTTAGATCTTTTAAACTACGCAACGGATTTTAATGCGGTTTTCAGAAATAGGTAGAGTAGTTCAAGCGGAAGGTTTATATGTAGTATACATACGTTTTATAGTGCTTAAAGCCGAGAATTTCAAAGATTTGTAATGTGATTTCGTAACAAATACATTTTTGTGCGCTAACATTGCAAACGCTGAAATAGATCATATTAATGTACTACGAAATTGTATATCTTTTATAATAATTTTTAACAAAAAAAACTGACTTCAAATCGGACACTACAATAAAATAAACATTGTCAATTTCTATAACATTTGATGATTGCTCTCGATTTCTCTGGGATGCTATCATCAAATCCGGGTTTCCTTATGGTAATTCTCCTTATGGTATTAGGTATATCTCCTTTGAAACAAAAAAAGAATCATCAAAATCGGTTCATAAATGACGAAGTTATCCGCGAACACATAAAAAACAAATAAAAATATGTATGCGGTCGAATTAAGAAACCTCCGTCTTTTTTGAAGTCGGTCAAAAATATTGATAAAACCGCGATGGTATAATTATGTTTATCTCCTAAGGATAACCCACAGTAACAATTTTTATCTTTTACTTATTACAAAAAAATATGGGTTATTTACCAAGCTATAGTAAACAATACAGTATAATTACTTCTCCAATGAAATACATTAGATAAGTTGCATGTTACATAGATCAAAATTGCCCATACCATTAAAATGACTATCTTACATGATATCAGAGATGAAAAGCTGGGGTAGAGAGAGCTGTGCGTCCGTCCCAGTTGGCAGCGGTAATAAGTCCCACCAGAGCGACATAGAAAGATTGTGGTCTTCCCTTCAAACCGCCAAAGGCACTAGACGAGATTAGGGCCACAAAAAAATCTCCACTATTACACGAATGGACAGCCCCGTCCGGAGAAGTACCACGGCCTCACAGAAGACCGGCGTGAAGTGGGAACTTCGCCTTTCGTTGCGCTCTTTTAATTCAATATACTCGTCTACCTGAGCTCAATCCCCGGTACTGGCACCAATGAATTTGTTGTAATTTTAAATGCTGACTTATCACGTGCTAAACGGTGAAGGAAAACATCGTGAGGTCCTAGCCTCACGATGTTTTCCTGCCATAATACCCTCAATATAGACGATTTGCCCAGCTGTGGGTCATATATAGGCTGTTACTTTAGTTATATATATTTATAATCCCTCTGGTGTTGTCGATGTCTATGGTTGGCGGAATTAACTTAACATGTGTATGCAACGATCGCTTGATAACTCTTCACATAAAAAAAATTAAGTCCACAGAAAGCTGTCGTGATGGTCGATACCTGGTTGCAGTTTATCTTCGTTGACCCCCATTATCACCATGGGCACGTCGACGCTCGGCGCCGTCACAACGACGCGTCTTACGCCATCGCCGGCCATATGACCCTGCGATTGCAGGAAACAAAGCGGGACACAAAATGATATCGTTTTAGAATAGTCATTTATGGTCCGATAACTGGCCAATATGTTGCCAAGAAGAAATCGGTGAACATAACACAACAAATACAAAAAGTCGAACAAAGAACCTCCGCATTTTTGAAATCGCTTAAAAAGCATATGAATACTTTTACTGTTTTTTAAATGAATACTTCCGACAGTGAAAGTCGAAACTGAGTGTATTTTTTAAAATATTTAAATTAATTATAAATTAAAATTATCAACTTTTCACATTTATCGATACTCAGTTTTATACTATTTTTTTATTAATTTATTAGCCGAAACATATGATATGTAAACAACAATTTAATTTATATACACATAGAATTTACATTAACATAAATGTAAATGAATCACGGCACGCTCGATTTAGTTCAGTATACTCGAGCAACCTAAGTTCAAGTCCCGGAGCTAGCATCAACCATTCTGTCAATTGCATTTCATATCCCGATATACTACGTGTTTAGCAGTGAAGGAAACATCGTGAGGTAACCTGCATATCTACGAAGTAATAAAAAGTATTTGAAGAGTTACGTCAGGCTTCACATATGCAGTCGGGTTGGTTGGTGGAATGCGCCCAAAGTCCAAGATAGGCGCATAGTAGCCTATATTTAGTACTTAATCATCATCATTTTAGCCTGTATGAGCCCACTGCTGAGCGTAGGCCTCTTCCACAAACCGCCTAGATGTGCTGAGCGAACTGCATTCATCGATTTCCCGCACACTTGCAAAGACCCTCCCTCCATGGGAGGGGGGTTACTCTACGATGGCCAATACGAAGCTGCCACTCCATAAATTTCATCCCCATCGCTTCGAGAAGCGTTTCTTCTAGCTATATGTGTACTTCAGCTTACTAAGCCTTTACTATGTCGGTTAATTAATACCACGGCCTAAAATAGTCAACCGATTGTTTATAGGTCTACAACTATTCACATGTAACTATAGTTTTGTCGCAAATTTAAGTATAACTTTTTATGACTTTTACAAAAATTAATTGCTTTAAAAAAGGTCATCAATTCAACTGAAGAAACGAATATTATCAAAGCAATAGTCGCGACTTTATATAAGAAGAAACATGTTATTTCTATATCAGAATAGTGTAGACATTATGACGTTCTAAAACAAGACAAACTTTTCTAGCCTCTGTTATTGCAATAATGGACCAACCCGTCTAAAGTACATACTAATATAAGACCGGTGTAAAATTAATATTTATATGGTTTTATTTCGTTTTATTAGAACGGTCAACTCTCCTACTCCTACCCTCTTAAGTGTTGCCAACAGATCCAAACCCAGAATGTCTGGGTTTAGATCCGTTAGGGCCCCATGTGTGTCTGTATTGTCCACTGGTCTATAATGGAATCTTACGTGATACTATTAACTACCTAAATGCCTTGTTTTACCTTATAAAACACAAGAACATAGTTAGTAGGTATGTACGTCTAAGGTCAATTAGATACTTTCAATTAAGACCAATGTTTCTAATAAGTCTCTTTTAAAAACTCACGCTTGACCGTGAGATGACCCCGTGATAAAAACTTCGGTTAACTAAGTTATCAATAAAAAAAATTGAAGTCTTACAAACTTACATTAAAATACTGTTGAACTTTTTTTTTAATTAAAATTAAAGTATTATTGAAATAGAATTATCTACTGACTAGAGCTAGAACCCTTCAAAAATAAATGTTATTTTAATTAGCTTTAAGATCACATATGGTGGGAATATAAATCCAAGAAATGTCTTATGATTTATATTCTCACCATAGATAACCACAGCGTGTTTAATTTGTTTTAAAGAACCAAATCTGGAGATAACATTGAATATTTCTACCATACTAGTAGATTGGTAGAGTTTAAAACATCGCTGGGAAAATATAAACAACTGAATACGCTGAAAACAAGAATCACGTTAAATGTTATCAAGATATTAATTACCATTGCTTTATCATAACTCGTGAACATGCCCGATGATTCGATAACGTATTGCACACCAGCTAATTGCCACGGTATGGCAGATGGGTGTTTTTCACGGAAAATTTTTATTACCTTATCTGAAAACCAATCGCCATGAAGTAAGATGTAAATGTAACAAGACGTTTTTCTATTCTTTAAATTTCTTACATTGCCATATTCAATGATGTGGATACATGCAATACATATCTACAGACTCTTCAATAATTAGTGGATAAACTTGAAATAGTTTATAGCAAAGGTTTGTACCTATTCAAAAACTATCTTTTTTTGCCATATTATTCTTCGCTGATAGATTCGTTCGCAGACAGTAGAATGACTAGTTATGGCAGATTTTTTAAATATTAAGTTAAACTTGACTCAATGCAAAAATTTTAAGCAATGTTTAACCATCAACCTTAGTAGACAATTAATTTAAACGCATTGGTTTTTAAAAACAGATTTCAAAATCGTATAAATCATTTTTACTTCTCATGAAAGTAAGTAGCTAATTATTATTGCAAATTCCAGAATTTGTGATATGGGGTTCATTATAACAATTTATGCTATAATAGCACTTTACAGAACATTATTTATAATTAATTTTAAAATTTATTCATTACTCCTTAAAATTTGATTGATTTTGATCAAATAGCTAGTAGCAAAAACTTTTAATTTCGTATCGATTTGTAAATTATCTAGATTCGAGAGTTTGCACGCATGAAACATGAATGAGTAATATTCGTTTTACTTTTAAATATTGTGGCTGTGTCCGTGCCTATTTAAATAAACGATACCAAAGGTGGCTATTGTTTTGGGCCAAAACCTCAAAGTCTATCGGACGTTCTTGCATTGGGGCTGATGAAGCCGTATCGCAGATCCCCTGTCGTCACGGGGGCCCCACGTGGCCTACTTATTCGCTTAAACTATAGACATTTTTATAATGAATATTTAGATATATTTAGAATAAATAAAAAACATAAGATAATAGAAAAATTTTTTCGTCATTCACTTTTTTTCACTCCTCTGACATATGGCAATACAGCAGGCACTCACTCAACTGTTTCTCACCACCACCCTTCACAGTTAGCTACTGTTGGTAAATGTTTGTTACAGAGAGCACAAGGGATCTGTGACAAGGAACACCTGGCTACTGAGCTACACAATGTCAAGCAAGTCCTGCGTGACAACGAGCTCCAAATCCCGCGCCTGCATCGCAGTGACCAAGTGAAACCAGTCACAGTTGAGCGAGAGCCTGCTGTATTGCCATATGTCAGAGGAGTCACTGACAAGATTGGCTATAACTTAAAGCGTGCTTCAATTAAAACATATTCAAGCCACTAAGAAGATAAGTAAATTTTTACCATCTGTCAAGTGTAATATCCTTCTACGAGATCCACGAGTGTACAAGCTTGACTGCGATTGTGGGCTCTCTTTTATAGGACAAACAAAGCGATCAATTAAAACCAGAATTAAACAACACATAGCTGACGTGAAGCACCGACGGTTGAAGAAGTCTGCAGTTTGTGATCATATTTTAGACCGCCCCTACCACTACATTAGATTTGATCAACCGAAAATCCTCGCAAAAGAACACCGATTCCTTCCAAGGATGAACAGCGAAGCTACTGAAATTAAAGAAACATCCTAATTTCAATAGAGAAGATGGTTGGAGTTTATCATCTGCTTGGGATCCCATAATTTATAAAATTAAATCCAAGCACACCAACGCGGCCAGACCTCAAGATACCATAAGCTCCTTCTGCGTGGATCGGAATAAAAATAAACAAAATATTTGACGGTAGCCGGGGTTAACTATAACATCAAGACGTATAACAACTTAGTCTGTCCCGTGACCATGAACGCTGGAAAGGCTTCGAAACGTCAGGAGTTCAAATCAAAATAAAAAACGCGATAAAATCCGTAAACTACTTTCATTTAATATGAACATTTTAATATTTTAGTAATGTACAGTACACTCAACAGTCTCACGTCTGTATACCTTATCGGTGAAAATCTATGTTTACGATCTAATTTAGGTCAAGAAAATTTAAACGCCTTAGCTATTTTGTGCATAGAGTCAAAACTAATGAACAAGATTTCATTTGACGATATAATTCATGATTTTGCGAATTTGAAATCTCGCAAATTCATAGGTGGCAAAATTGAACAGCATATTGAAATTATTAAGTTTACTATTAGCTATAAAAATTAATAATAAGATTTGAAATCTAATTTCGCCGTTTGTAATATAAAAAAAACTTCAAGGGCCCTTCAAGATCAAGTTTATTCACTAATTACCGAACAACCTGTATAAATGTAAAAGAATGAACAAGTTCTAATTTTTTGAGACACCCACGATAACTAAAACTCATCTATATATATATATATATATATATGAATACTGAATTAATGTACTAATCCATATGAAAATTTTAAAAGTTATAGAAACAGGGTGCATAAGAAGAAAATTACTAAAATGTAAGTATATTATACCATTAACTTTAACGTCATCATTAAATGCCATAACATTTTCATTGAAATTTCCATGTGTAGAGTCAAATTTTATCAAATAGCAGATGTAGTCGATATCGATAGAAGGATCATTGATAGCTGTGACCTGCAATTAGGTAATATTAAAGTAATAAAAGCATTGTAATAGATTTCTTCAGCCGTATTAGTAAAATTACCTCAACATTTGAGTTTTGATAACAAGTTCTAAACATAATTCTACCTATGCGGCCAAAACCATTTATGCCAACTTTTATAACCATTACTGGAAAAATTAAAATAATTGAGCTACCCAAACAGAGAAATTTGTAAACTGCCGCCGTGCCACAGATTATATATGTAATATGTATGAAACGTGACATATTCAACGTTAATTGAGAATTATTTGAACTTTGTGATGCATCGTAATATTTTTTTATCTACTTTCTAATAAGTTAATGAAATATTTGAAAATTTACTTTTCTTTCAGACATGTTTATTGAGATAGAAAAGTTCGAAGAGATTAATAGTTTTCGTAAACCCAGGTCACCCAATAATAGAGAGTGTCATCACTTTTAAAAGATAATCCAGATGGCGCTGCGTTAGAGGAATGTATGAAAATAGTTTACATTTTTATATTCCATAACATGTCCATGATGGTCCCATTTTAATTATCCAGAATAGTTAAGATGACTATAATCTTTATTGTACCGGCGCTAGTGGATGACGTGGAGACTCGTATATAACCTATACAGATAAATCAACTTGGAGTGTCTATTTGTAATATTAAAATAACAGCTTTTTACTAAATGCATATGGATATATACACGGTACATATACCAAATATTTTTTTTACATTTTTTGTCTGTATGTTTGTTCCGACTAATCTCTGAAACGGTTGGACCGATTTGGACGGGACTTTCACTTAATTCAAAATTTGGCGGCACACAAAAAAAAGATAAAAATTATTTACTTACTACAACACACTGCATAAATAGTTTATGACAAAAATTTTAAATATACGAAATAAACTAATATATACTACAATAATAACTAAACGTTTATTAAGGGATTAATTACAAGTTAATAATAAAATTATTTTTAATGCGAAATTTGAGCTTGATGTTTTTTGATAATTTCATTTATATTTGGTCGCAAAAATGACAATGCTACTCTCATATCGTCTTCTACAATTAACAATCTTGAAAATTGATCTTTTTTTAGTTTTAATGTTGGCTAGTGCCAAAAAATGTTTTTCTTTTTAAATGATATAATTTAATAATATTAACATTATTATATATTTACAAAATTTGGCGGCACACTTTTGAAATTTGGCGGCACACAAAAGTGCCGCGGCACAGTGGTTGAGAATCACTGACTTACAGATAGCTGATGTAATAAGGAGTAACTCAGGCTACTATTATTTTAGATTTTTTTATTTTAAATTCCACGCGAACGAACTCGCGGGCACAGCTAGTATAGGAATAAAAGAGTAAATCGAAGGTTACAGATATGTCATTAGACTTAAGTGAAGAATTAGAAATTTGTCACAAGATTTTTATAAGTTATGTTGTAAGATTTTAAATTTATTACCAAATAAAGTGGAAAAAGAGGTACAAATATTTTGGTGATAAAAAAACCTTTCAAAATTTCTTTTTTGAAAGTTGCTGGCTGATTTATACTACAACATCTTCTTCTGCATATTGACAACTTCATCTTTTATTATCAAGATTAGTTCCTAGGGAATATATGTTAACAATTTTAAAACTTAGTAATAAGACGAAATATGGCAAGTTCTAAAGTTAATGGGTACGTTAAAAATATAATTGTTTTATCACAGTAAAATTACAAGTAAATTGTTTGGTAAAAATTATTTTGGTACCGTTTATTGATAACCAACATGAAATCTATCAAATTGAAGACGCTGTCTCATTTTTTAAACCATGTTAAATGAGTTAAGTGGTAAATTGATCTGTTTAACACGGGGTTGTAAATATAAATGAATTACGCTCTAGGGTATAAAATACTGATAAATAATACAAAACCTAGTTATTAGGTTTTATTAAGCAGAAAATATATACATACGTAAGAACAATTGTGTCAGTAATAAGGAACACCCAAAAAAATAATTTTAAAAACAATGTTTACATTTATAGCGAATGGCCAGTATTATAAAATTTACCCTATCGAGTAAAAGTAACAATATTTTAAATATTCTGGCCGCTTAAGTAACATAATCTTTTAAATATTCTGGTCGCTTTTTAGTTCTAACCGGTCGCTCCATTGCCATTACTTCTCTACATTGTTCATTATCTTCTCGTATATTTCCACTTGGCAGATCTATTTGATTATTATTTTCTTCAATTTCCATAGTATTTTCGATAAACTCCGATGAATCTAGAGGCGCTAGATGTCTGTTAGATACCGTCTCTTCCCTTCCATCAGGTAAACGGACATATGAAAAGTCAGGATTTGATTGTAATAGCTCTACCTCCTCGACTACAGGTGAATATTTTGAAGCCCGATTATGCTTTTTTCATAAACACTGGCCCTGGCACCATCAACCACGATGGTAATGTTGCACCGTTTTCAGATCTTCGATTATGCCTGAACATTCTTTCGTGAGGTGTTACATTAGTAGCTGTACAAAGTAATGATCTAATCGAATGCTATGACTGATCCAATACCCTCTCCCATTGGCTTATATCATATTTTTTTGTTTTTAAAGCCAATTGCATTGTCTTCCACAACATGCCATTAAATCGTTCCACTTGCCCATTTCCTTGCGGGTTATACGATGTTGTTCGACTTGTAGCTATACCTTTACTTTGTAAAAAGATTTTAAATCATGGGACATAAATGATGATCCTCTATCAGAATGTATGTATGAGGGTATGCCGAATATAGAAAATAAGTTTGTCAAACACTTAATAATACTCGATGTAGATGTGTCTTCACAGGGGTATGCGAACGGAAATCTTGAATATTCGTCTATAATAGTGAGTAGATACAGATTTTTTGAATTTGTAGGTAGGGGTCCTTTAAAATCTATGTTTAATCTTTCAAATACACTTGTAGCTTTTATTAATATTCCACAGCTGTTGCAAAATTTAGGTTTTACTTCTGCACAGATTTTACAGCCACGTGTCATTTGTCGTATATTATCAATGCTGTATGGTAAGTTTTTAGATCGCACCCAATGAAACATTCGAGTGACTCCAGGATGACAAAGCGATTCATGTAAAGAAAATAGTTTAGATTCTGTATGAACAGATGCACACATTCGAGATAGTGCATCCGCTGCAACATTTTCTTTCCCAGGTCGATATATAATGTCATATTTAAAACAATAGAGCTCCAGGCGCCACCTCATAATCTTGTCATTTTTAATTTTACTATTATGCTTGGTATTAAACATGAATGATAGCGATTTTTGATCAGTTATTAAACGAAATTCTCGTCCTATTAGAAAATGCCTCCACTTACGGACAGATTCTACAATACATGCTTCTTTTTCAATAGCAGAGTGTTTTCTTTCACACTCCGTGAGTGATCTTGAAAAGAAAGCAACAGGTCTCCCTTCCTGTGAAAGTGTCGCTCCGATTGCGAAATTTGATGCATCTGTTTCGACAGTGAATGGGATTTTGCTCTCAATGGCATGAACAGATGACTTAATTATTTCTTGTTTTAAACTTTAGAAAGCGTTTACTGCATCGATGTTCAATGGAAAATCATTGTTATTAATAATAATTCAAATCTTTTCGGAAAATTTCGGTATCCATTTAGAATAATGTAAAACATTCCTACTGTCCTTCTTAACGAAGCAGCATCCGTTGGAATAGGCAAATTTTGTAGAGGTTTGATTCTTTCTAAATCTGGAGTGATCATTTTATTATTAATGTTATATCCAAGAATAGAAATACTTTTAATTGAAAATGTACATTTTTTCTCATTTATAGTAAGATTGTACTTTTTGACAGCAGACATAAACTTCTCAAGATAAATTTCTATAATAAATATAACTTCTATATTAAATAAAACTTCATAAACTTCTTATAGTCATGGTCTTCTTTATTCTTACCACATACGGTAACATCATCTAGATAGGCGAACGTAGATTGTAGATTTTCCGTTCGTATTATCCAGTCTATAGTTCTCTGAAAGCTACTTACACCTTTAGTAACTCCCAAATGGGATTCTACAAAATTGATATAAATTTCCGACTGCTTCAAAAGCAGTTAATGGTTTTTCCGTATCAAGGATCGGAATTTGGTGATACGCGCTTTTTAAGTCAATCTTTGAGAATAATTCGTACTTAGCAATATCTTGTACAATTGTCTCTATATCTTACAATGGGTAAGCGTCTAAGTAAGTATATTTGTTGATAGTTTGTGAATAATCAATGCAAAGACGCTTTTTATGATTATCATTTTCTATTACAAGAACTTGAGCTCTCCATGGAGATCTGCTTTCTTCAATAATACCATTTAATAATAATTCCTGAATTTCATTAGCAAAGAATTTTAAATCATCTTTAGAAAAACGTCTAGATTTAGTGACTATAGGTTTACAGATCGACGATAAGTTAGGAAAAATTGATACTGGAGGAATCGTAGCTGCAGTTACTCCGCAAATTTCAAGTTTTGCTCTTGGACCGCCAAAATTTAATTGAACTTTGCAATGTTGAGTTAATACATCATGACCAATAATAATATCCGCACATAGATGTTTTACAATAAGTAATTTTATATTTTTATAAATGTGATTTCCTATGCTTATTGACGTAATACACAGGCCTTCTACATTCGATGTATAATTAGTCGTAGCCATTGTCACTTTCTCTGAACATTCTTCTTTTATTAGACAACAGCGATCAAAAAACAAACTATTAATGTAGCTTCTAGAACTTCCTGAATCGATTAAAGCCTGAGCATTTACCCCCTTTATTTTTATAGTTACAATTGCTTTACCGAGGCATGCAGGTGATGCAGCTATGACAGAAGCTACAGCGTCCATGTCATCTATTTCCATTGCGGCATTTACAGATTTTTTTGAGTTACGACATGCTTTGGCCCAATGTCCCTTTTTATCACATATTTGACAAATCGCATTCCTTGCAGGGCAATTTGAACGCACGTGTATATTTCCGCCACAAAAAAAACATTTCTTTCGATTGTATAAAGTTTTCTGATAAGTCGACGAAAACTCATGATTTTTAACATGAGTTTGTGATTGTGAAGCATTTATTGGATTGATCTGATATTCTTGAGCAGTAGACTTCGCTAGCTCCAATGATACTGCTTTGTTATATGCTTCATCTAAAGAAAGTGATAAATTTTCTAATAATCTCTGTCTGATATTATTACATGAAATACCAGAAATGAAGGCGTCTCTTATATACTCTTCTTTATATTTTTCAGCAGACACTGATGTAAATTCACATTCCAGACTTTGTAGTTTTAATTTATGTATAAACTGTTGAATCGTTTCCCCGTTTTCTTGTTTTGAGGTGATAAGCTTGTGTCTTGCAAAAATTGTTTTTTGGTTTGACGAATGCAAGCTCTAAATTATTGATCGCATCTTTGTAGCTAACACAATGACATATATATTCATAAACTTTTGATGATAGATGATTAATCAGAAGTTAAAATCTTGCTTTTTCATCTTTAACATTATTTATAGCCAAAAAATTTTCAAAAGTTATATATACCAACGTCTCCATTCTTGTGCCGCGGTAGCAGATGAAGAATCGGTTTCAAATTTCTCTGGTCTTAAAAATCTCTCCATACTTCTTGAGGATTATTTTATTGAATTGTTGATTCTTTCTGCTTAATAAATTGATAAATAATACAAAACCTAGTTATTAGGTTTTATTAAGCAGAAAATATATACATACGTAAGAACAATTGTGTCAGTAATAAGGAACATCCAAAAAAATAATTTTAAAAACAATGTTTACATTTATGGCGAATGGCCAGTATTATGTCAAATACCCATAAATGATAACTCTCAAGAGAAACACTAAAATAACTCTAAACCGACATCTTCTTTCTTCCCTTCTCCTGCCCTTATCCCACACAAGGTGCGGTCCGCACAACATGTCCTTTCCTTCCAATTTTCTCTATCATCATTTCATTCATCTCTATACTGGCCCCTTCTCAGATATATTTTTTATTCACACAGTCCATCCAAATCTTTCTCGGTCTTCCTCTAGGTTTGCACCCTCCAACCACATTCATATTCATTATTCTACTTGTCATATTTCTTTAATGTACTCAACCTACTACTCCTTATTTATTAAATTTGTAGAAAAAGTACGAAAAGATTGTCGCTGTTGTGGGAATCGAACCCACGTCGTTGGCATTCGCGGCCTGACGCTTTAGCCACTAAGCTAAACGGCTGATTGTCACACCGACGAAATTCTTAACATCCTTTATCAACATTATTTTTTAGCTTTTGAAGCAATGCTTGGCACATCCATTGTTATATCCTTTCCAGCATACAAACAATTTCGATTATCGTTTTACAACGATAATTCGAAGGCGAGATGTCGCCATTGCTTTTTAGAAATTTAAATTTTTTATAGTGCTAATCTCTGCACTTATTAGATTAATCATTAAATTTCTAGAAAAAGTACGAATAGACTCCTTATTTTCTCAGTCACTGGTGCCACTTTCAAGATTTACCATATGTACTAATTTCGTATTTTATCCTTTCTGGCCACACCACGCATCCATTTCGAAATTCGCATCTCTGCCACATACATTTTTCTTTCATTCGTCTCATGACAGGTCTCACCCCCGTCTTGTAAACCTTCCCTTTGAATTTTAGTGCATTCACATGTAACTCCTGAGATCCGTCGCCATTTCACCCAGCCTGCATTTATGCTGTTTGTGACATTTCGGTCAATCCCGATGTCGTTTTGAACCAATGAGCCGAGGTCGAAACCAGACTCGAAACTGGATGTGCCACTGAAATCACGAAATAGGTGTTCTGTTTGTGATAGCTCAGTGTCCGGGCGCTCGCCTTTAATTCAATATACACGAGCAACCTGAGTTCGATCCCCGGTGCCGGCACCAATGAAGTTTTTAACTTTAAGTGCTGACTTATCACGTGCTCCGCGGTGAAGGAAAACATCGTGAGGAAACCTGCATATTTTCGAAATAATAACAAAAAAATATATTTCGAAAATATGTGAAGTCCGCCAATCCGCAGTGGGGCCGCGTGGTGGACTATGCCCTGATACCCTCTGTATAGAGGAGGCCTTTGCTCAGCAGTGGGACATGTATAGGCTGTTACTTTACTTTTTTTTACTTTCGTATTTCTAGACAAAGAGAATAAATCGGTAACACGAACTCTATTACATGACTTGTATATTAACATAACAACTGCCCTTTTTAAGAGACCCTTAAAAAAAGAGAGAAGAGATTCGTTATCCTGCCTAGTGCCCATAGCTCCTGCTTAGCAGTCCGCTGTGAAAAACTGCGAAGCAGGATGTAGCTCACACACAGTCACATTTAGCCCTCTATGATCAGCACCGTTTCGTGTCTCACTAATGTTACTATTCTTCTCTTATGCGTATGCGTTAACGATTTTTTCAAAAGTTAACGTTTAACGTGCTTTTTCGAAGAATAGAAATTTTTTTTAGTATGTCAGATCTTCCTAACCGAGGCAATGTTTGCTGTTGCAATGCCACATTTCTCATTTGATTGTTTCCGTATTTTTGTGAGTTTTGATCCCATAAACATGTTGCCCAATGTTACAACAAAATAATGGGCTGCTGTCCAGCTTCCAAATTCATGTCCCTGCTCCTACAACACAGCAGTCGCTGCAGAACGCCAAACTAGTGACAATCCTGCAGACTTTAAACGGTGGGCAAAATTTGCAGGTCTCTTGCAGGATGCAAGGTGAATCCTGCTTAGTGTTGTCGGTCACCGCGGCTTTGAAAACATTCATAACCCCTGCATAAAGCGGCGGATGGCAAAGCGGTCTGCCAGAAAGGATAGTGAATGGACCTCTTTAACTCAGCTGCCGCAGAATATTTATGTATATTACGGCACGCCAACACTTATGGCCAACACAATTATGTAGTTAAATGTAATTTGTATCTATTCTATATCACCAATTTTGGGCAGTCTAATAACTGCTCAAAATTACTCATAAAATATAACTAACAAGAATACCCTTAATTTATTTCCTGTCCTATGATTAAAATAAAATATTAGTTATATTGCTATTACCGAATATGATTAAATTTTTACGGAAGAGTTACATTTCTTATTAGCTATTTGTTAACCCTTTAAACATAATTATATAGACTACCATCCCATCCCTGCTCTATATCCACTTCAACTTTATACTTACTTGTCCTTCATCTGACATTTCAGTTCTCCATCTTGTGGCGATCGTACGTATAATACTTCTTCAGCTCATCCACTACTTCCCGGTAAGCACCAATCCTCACAATTTCGACACGGTAATAGTAATCATTTGTAGAATCAAAAAAATTAAAATATCTCCCCCTGATTCCGTATAAACGTACGTTAAGAACATGATTCCATGTTGGAATGTATTTAACTATATAATTATGTCATGGCGATTACCAATTTGCTTAGGACGGCAAATCAATTTATAATATGAAGGAAATCTTAATCTCCTGTGAATTTTAAGTAAAGAGTTTTAACGCTGTTTATTATTTTCTTAGGGCGGGTTTGCTTGACCTCTATTTGACCTTCCTATGCCGGTATATCAAGTTCAAACCAAGCCAACGCGATTTTAAAACTTTCCCAGCTACGTTTAGCCCTCTCGACATTGTTTTTTTTTAAATATTAAGGAATTAAATCATTTCTATAGATTAAAAGGTATACATATTTATTTACAAATGCCATGTAAGAACTGCACAGGTATATAAAATATGTTATTGAAATATCAAGTAGAATATAGTATATTTTACATTTCAGTTATTTGGTTTAATTATAAATATAATTATTTTGGTTTGTTTTTGTAATTTCTGATAGATTTTTTGTGCTATTTATACTTTTAAGCAATCAACATCCAGAAATAAAGAATCATACTATGGCAATGATCAATACAATGGCACTACAATATGGAAATTCAATATTTTAAGTTTCTTCCTCTAACATTTTAAGTTGATGAACAGTGGGCAGTGTTATGCTCTTCATAAATTGAAATGCCTACCCAAACAGTTGCCGCATTATTCCATAAAATAATCTCAACATGGTAGTGTTGATTTAAAGGATTTTACTTTTTTGTTGTTATTACTAAGCAGTACAATTTGTTAATGTATTTGTTTTTGCAATTGCAAGGGCTGTTAGTTAAACTCACCATCATAAAGATACTTTAAATTAATATATTCATTTTATATTATTTAATTTCATACTTAACAATAGTTTGTAGCGACACATAACCAAAAATTATAAATACATAATAAAATATACACATATAAACATACGTAAATTTGAAATTAAAATTTGATTTTTTTTTAATTTGCCACTGTTTTATTAGAAATCATTGTGTTTTGGGAGTCGATAACAACATGAAATAATTATATTCTGTCTAAAAGAACTTTTTGGTGTATTCATAATTGTTACTTTCTCTTATTCTATATGCCTACCATAGTTACATGTAATTATACAAAAATACAAAACAAGTATAAACATTACTGGAATCATTCTTTTCTTCTTGATTGTCTTGACACCAAGTATTCTTTTCTTTTTCAGCTAAAATGTCCAAAATTGGTATTAATGGATTTGGACGTATTGGACGTCTTGTACTCCGGGCGTCAATAGAAAAGGGAGCGCAAGTAGTTGCTATTAATGATCCCTTCATTGGCTTGGACTACATGGTCTATCTTTTCCAATATGATTCCACACATGGTCGTTTCAAGGGGACTGTAGATGCCAAAGATGGTAACCTAATTGTCAATGGCAACAAAATTGCTGTCTTCTCTGAAAGGGACCCGAAAGCCATCCCATGGTCAAAGGCTGGAGCTGAATATGTTGTGGAATCCACTGGCGTGTTCACCACTACAGATAAGGCATCAGCTCATTTAGAAGGAGGAGCCAAGAAAGTTATTATCTCTGCTCCCAGTGCTGATGCCCCAATGTTTGTAGTCGGTGTCAACTTGGAAGCTTATGACCCATCATACAAAGTTATTTCAAATGCTTCCTGCACCACTAATTGCCTCGCTCCTCTTGCTAAAGTAATTCATGACAATTTCGAGATCATTGAAGGTTTGATGACTACTGTTCACGCCACTACTGCCACCCAAAAAACTGTAGATGGTCCATCCGGAAAGTTGTGGCGCGATGGCCGCGGTGCCCAACAAAATATCATTCCTGCATCAACTGGAGCTGCCAAAGCTGTCGGTAAGGTAATTCCTGCACTGAATGGTAAGCTTACCGGTATGGCTTTCCGTGTGCCGGTAGCCAACGTATCCGTGGTCGATCTCACAGTCCGCCTGGGTAAGCCTGCCAACTATGAAGCTATCAAGCAGAAAGTTAAGGAAGCGGCTAATGGCCCACTCAAAGGAATTCTTGGATATACTGAAGATCAAGTTGTATCATCTGACTTTATTGGTGACTCTCACTCATCCATATTCGATGCTGCTGCCGGTATCTCTCTTAATGACAACTTTGTTAAACTCATCAGCTGGTATGATAATGAATATGGCTACTCTAGCCGAGTGATTGACCTCATCAAGTACATCCAGAGCAAGGATTAAATTATTATTTATTAATTTGAGATATGATTGCAACTGTCGAGATTACCGACTCTTTATTTTAAGTTATAAGTGTAGCTGTGTATTCTAAATTATTAGACTACTTTGACAGTAGTGCTGTGAAATTATGTGAATTGTTTTTTAAATTACAATTTTTTTCGAGATAAACCTATATTTTTTTTTAATTAAGTAAAAACATGTATTAAGAGAAGCATTAAATTGAAAAGTATTGAACTCAGTTTTATTCATGTTCACGAAATTAAAGACTTATCACCTATATTTTCTTTTTTTTTTTGTTATGTTTAAAATGTTTAATAATTATAAAAAAAAAAGTCTTAACAAATCAAAATTGGATTATATTTCGCACCTGTTGATAGTAAACACTTTTCTCGAAAATCTTTTTCAAGACTAAGCACTACTAATACATAATTTTTTTCGTAAATAAAAATGAGCGAAAATTTCATTTCAATTGGAAAATTTCATCGGAAATTGGCAGTCAAAGCATTGCAAGTCTTTATATGTATAGCAATGTATGGACATTATCTCAATAAATTAAAAAAAAAGTGAATCCGTACTGTTTGTGCCACCGACTCACCTTCTCCTTCCTCAATCAAAATTTCTATTGTAAATATGTACTGTCTTAATTTACGACAAAAAAGTCCTAATTTAGCATCCGTATTTTCGTATAATATAGCGCAATTTTGATAAGGGCTAAGTGCGTCTTTTTCGTCATATGGCAGCACTGCCGCTATGCAGGACGGCCAAACCACTGACGCTCCTGCGCGGCGGACTGCAAGCAGTGGGCGGAGCTTGCAGGTCCCTAGCATACAAGGCGCGTTCTGCTCGGTGTTGCCAGAAACTTTGCAGGCCTGCAACATCATTCACAATCCTGCATAAAGCAGCGGACTGCACGGTGGACTGCCAGGCAGGATATTGAATGGGCCCCTTTAGCAAGTCCAACGTGGAAAGTATGCGGCACCCGCGAAGACATATAACCGTAGTGAAATTGTATGTGTTAAATTGCGAAATTTCTAATAATTGTCTTTTAATTGCCTCACCGGATTTCGTCCGGTAGCCCCGTATGGCCCGTATAGCCAACATCGGTGGGGAACGAATTTCCATCAGCGATCCAGGACTAGGCCGAGATACCTCATCGTCGGCTTGACGTCGACACACTACAATGAGCGTCCGCAGGTGGCGTATTCCGAGGCCCATAGAAACACAGGGCTTCGGATTAAGCGCCACCTCTAGCCCCAGTCGCCGAATGCGTCCCACCACGTGCGACACTCCCGCTGTGGCAAGAATAGCGGCCCACCGAAAATTGGTGACAAGGGTGTCGTCCTTCGTGTGGAGTGAATCGCCACACTCTTTTCCGGATTTATTTTTATTCTCCATTTGTGGAACCAATCGCCGAGGCGGTCGGCGGCACTTTGGAGTCGAATGGTTTGTTGACTGAGGTTTCGGCCTGAATAAAAGAGCGCCGTGTCATCCGCGAAAAGCGTGAGATTGCTGGGGGGTCTTTTGGTATGTCGCTCGTGTAGAGCGTAAAGACCAAAGGTGAGAGGCAGGAACCTTGTGGAACGCCAGCCGTGAGGCGGCGACTTGTGGAAAGAGTTCCTTCGATTCGATATCGAAAACAGCCGAAGGAAAACAGGAAGGCTCGGATGGTATGTACGAGCCTATCTGGCACTTTGAGTGTGTACAGCTTGTAAAGCAAGTCGTTGTGCCAGACCTTGTCGAATGCTTTTGCGACATCGAAGAAAAAAGCCCCCGTGCTAATATATTTAGAGTGATTTAGGCCTTTTAGGATATGTTCCGTTAGGCAGTATAATTGATCGGGACAGGAATGTCTAGCTCAAAAGCCGAATTGTTCCGCCGGCAGAAGGCCGTTAGAAAGACGTGCTCTTTGAGCCTGTTTAAAAGAAGCCGCTCGTAGGGCTTCCCCAGGCAACTAAGGAGGCTGATGGGACGATAACTAGAGGGCGGAATGGCTGGTTTATTCGGCTTGCGAATGCCGATAACCGTGGCTTTTTTCCAGTCGTCTGGAAAAGAGCAACTGGAGAGTAAAGTGTTATAATGGTCGCCAGTAAACAGATAAGCGGCCCAGGGAGAGCTTTAAGAATTTTGTTACAAATATTATCTAGGCCCGGGGCGGATTTGGCTTTTAAATTTTTGATAATGTCTTGGACCACTTCGGGGGTCACAGAATTCAAAGGATCGCCTTACGATGGAAGCGCAGTCCTAATCTCGATTACGCGGTCCACCTCCGTTAGGTAGGCTGTATCGGTGTGTTTGCGCGATGGCGTACATTGCTGCTCTAGGTTGTCCGCAAGGCATTCGGCTTTTTCGGAGTCATCTAGGGTGTCATGTGAAAATACTTGTATAAGCTGTGGATGACATGTACTTCATCAGAGATGATTAAACTGGGCTTGTCAACACTTATGTGTTCTAATACAGTTATCTTAATAACCTTTTAATAACTAATTAAATACAGTTATTACATGGCGCTAAGGACTTAAAGAACTTATTGTGATAAATATAAAAACCTAAGTGGAAGTAAACCGTTGTAAACGAAAGATGGATGCGTTAAAACCACCGCCACCATTAAGCCTTATGGGCGACTTGAAACAAAATTTTCAAAAATGGACACAGCAATATGATATCTATATGATTGCTAGCGGGACGGGAGGTGATGAAAAAATTAAAGATGAGCAGAAAAAGGCAATATATTTGCACTGCTTAGGCGCAGAAGCACTAAACATATACAATGGTTTCAAGAACAAAGAAAAGTTATCTTATGTGGAAGTAAAACAGAAGTTTAATGAATATTGTTCGCCACCCGGAAATGAAACTTTTAGTAGACATGTCTTCTTCAGCAGAAAAAAGAGAGATGGAGAAAGTTTTGATGAATTTTTCTGTACGTTGAGAAAATTGGCGGGAGACTGTGGTTTTGCAGACCTAGAAGAAAGCTTAATAAGAGACCAAATAATTTTAGGCCTAAATGATGCCAAATTAACAGAAAGATTGCTCAAGGAATCGACCTTAACATTGGATAGCTGCATGAAAATATGTAAAGTGGCTGAGAGTGCTGCAAAACAGGTTCAAGTCATGACAGAAAAGACAGTTGAAGCAGTTACAAGAAAGCAAGAATCTCCAAGGAGAAGGCCTAATCAGAATAAAACCAATTTTCATAATAAACAACAGCCAGGTAAGAGTGCAGAAGGATCAGTAAGGTTTAAGAATAATAATTGTGAAAGATGCGGAGGAGTGCATTTTCAGCGGTCCTGCCCAGCCTTTGGAAGAAGATGTGCTAAGTGTAATCGATATGGACATTACATGCAGATGTGCAGAACAGTTGGTGCTGTGTGTGTGTCAGCGATGACGATAGTGATGACTCATTAGTAGTGGGGTCGGTAACTGTGGGCCAGGTTGATACAGAGGACTGGATCGTTGAGGCAAAAGTGAGAGGACAGAAGATGAAATTCAAAGTGGATACAGGATCGCAGGTTAATATTTTGACTAGTACTATAGTGAAAAAACTAGACTTACATATGACAGAAACTTGTACAAAATTAAAAAACTTTGATGGCTCAACTATAGAAACAATAGGTATGACTAAAACTACAGTGAAATTCAATAAACAAAAGTATGTACTTGACTTTTATGTGGTAAAATTTAAAACTACTAATGTGCTGAGCTACAAAGCTGCTGTGCAGTTAGGTTTAATAAATAAAGTTGAAAATATTTCAAAGGACTGTGTAGCTCAGGACATTAGTGAATACAAAGAGTTGTTTCATGGTTTAGGAAAATTGAACTATGTATACAAAATTAAATTAAAAGACAATTGTGCACCTGTAGTGGAGCCACCAAGGAAAATTCCTTTTAAATTAGTGGATAAAGTCAAAAATGAGCTTGATCGATTGGAGAAACTTGATGTAATAAAGAAAGTTCAAGAACCTACTGAATGGGTTAATTCTATGGTTATTGTTAAAAAAAGTCAAGATAAAATTAGATTGTGTTTAGATCCACAAAATATAAACAAATGTATCATAAGGGAACGTCATAAAATACCTACCTTTGTGGAACTTACTTCAGCCATGCCTGATGCCAAATATTACTCAGTGTTAGATGCAAACAAAGGATTCTATCAGATCTTGTTAGCAGAAGAAAGTCAACTGCTAACAACATTCAATGCAGGTCAATTTGGAAGATATTGTTTTAAGCGGTTACCATTTGGCCTGAATTCTGCCCCTGAAGTATTTAGTAAGTGTTATTCAGAAATTTTTAATGATATACAGGGTGTAGTGACTTATGTTGATGAAATATTGGTATGGGGAGATACGAAAAAAACACATGATAAAAGATTACTCCAAGTTTTAGAAAAGGCTCGGCAAGCTGGTGTCAAGTTCAATAAAGAGAAATGTGTCATAGGTGTAAAGGAGGTTAAATATGTGGGTCATATCCTATCTAGTGAGGGCCTTAAGCCAGACCCGGAAAAAGTGCGAGCTATTGTGGACATGAAAGAGCCAACAACAAAAAAGGAATTACAAACTGTCTTAGGTATCATAACATACATATCTAAATTTATACCAAATACATCAGAATTGACTAACTCACTAAGACAGTTACTAAAAAAAAATGTAGAGTACATTTGGGGTGACAAACAAAAAGAGGATTTTAAAAAAATAAAACAATTTCTCACTAGTGCCACAGTGCTCAGATACTTTAATGTCAACAAACCAGTGACTCTTTCAGTCGACAGTAGCTCCACAGGGTTAGGAGCTGTACTCCTACAGGATAATTTACCAGTTGCTTATGGGTCAAAGACCTTGACAGAGTGCCAAAAGTCATGGGCACAAATTGAAAAAGAAATGTTGGCAATAGTATATGGATGTGAAAAGTTTCATCAATATATTTACGATAAACATGTAATAGTTGAATCTGATCATAAGCCTTTAGAATACATATTTAAAAAAACAATTAATGAAACTCCACTAAGACTACAGAGGCTTAGATTGAGAATTCAAGGGTATGACCTGGAAATAAGATACAAACCGGGAAAAGAATTATTTGTAGCTGACGCTTTTGTCTAGGAATAGTTTACCAGACAAAATATGTAATAAAGATTTGGATCAACATGTAGAATTGCATGTTTGCTTGATAACGGAAGGATTAAAATTCACAGAACAAAAGTTAGAAGATTTAAAAAAAAAAACTGCAAATGATGAGGAATGCCAAAAAATTATAAAAAATATTAAAATGGGATGGCCAGTAAAGTAAAATTACCAACAGATTTAAAATATTATCACTCTATAAAAGAGGATTTGTATTATGCAAATGGTTTAATTTTTAAAAATAAGGCAGTTTTTGTACCAAAATCACTGAGGAAAGAAATATTAAACTTAATTCACTACAACCACCTAGGGTTAGAAAAATGCAAAAATAAGATAAGAGGAGTGTTATATTGGCCATTTATGAATAAAGAGCTGGAAGATCACATCAGCAACTGTGAACCATGTCTGAAATATCAAAAATCTCATTCATTTGAACCCCTAATTCTAAGGGACTTACCGAAACAACCCTGGGATATAATAGGAGCTGATATGTTCTTCTATAAAAATAATATATACTTAATGGTTGTAGATTATTTAAGTAAATATGTGGATATTATAAATATGGTGGATCAATCCACGGAAAGTCACATATTAGCATTAAAGCAGGTGTTTTCGAGATGGGGTATTCCAACAAAGCTATGTACAGATGATGCATCACAGTTTAATAGTCACGAATTTCAAGAATTTGTGAAAGAATGGGGATTTCAGTAAGTGAAATCTAGTCCATATTATGCGAGGTCCAACGGAATGGTTGAACGACACATTCAAAGTGTTAAAAAAATGTTTAAAAAATGTGATGTTCATCAGAAAGATATTTATATGGCCTTGATGGAATATCGCAACACACCTATAGATTCAGAAATTAACTTGTCTCCTAATGAGTTACTCTTAGGAAGACAAACAATAACTTTGTTACCTACCAGATCTTCTTTGCCAAGTAAAAATAAATTAAAGGAAGTTAGGAATAGTTTGCAGAAAAAACAAATTAAATACAAATATTATCATGATAGAAAAAATAATAAAAAAGGAATTGACTTTACAAAGGGTCAAAATGTGTTTATAAGGGATAGTAAAAATAAAAATCTTATGGGGAAAATAATACAAAAAAAAAAAACATAGAGCATATGATATTCTAACAGAGCAAGGACAAGTGATTAAAAGAAATAGATACAATATTTACAAAGGCTCTTCTAATAGACAAAGAGACTACAGTGGTGATATAGAAGATTCAATTGGTAGTAGTGGCATTAGCAGTGACAATGACAATATACAGTCTAATGACACTACTAGCAATAGGAAGTCAGTAAATTTTGAAAATGTAAATACTGACATACGGCAAACAAGGTCTGGAAGGCAGGTAAAACAACCAAGTTGGCTAAAGGGTCATGTCTTAAGTTAGATTATAAGTTTATTTGAGTAAAGAAAGGGAGATGTCATGTGAAAATACTTGTATAAGCTGTGGATGACATGTACTTCATCAGAGATGATTAAACTGGGCTTGTCAACACTTATGTGTTTTAATACAGTTATCTTAATAACCTTTTAATAACTAATTAAATACAGTTATTACATAGGGCTACTGAAGTGCTATTAGGTATAACTAACGGCGGTAGAGATTCGCGGGGGTCTGCTTTCAGACTACGGGCCAACCGCCAGTAGGCGGTGTGCGATGGCTCGATGTCCTCTAGGAGAGCGTCCCACGTGGTATGTAGGTGTTCCGATACGGGATCTTTGACTTCCAGCTGGAGGCGTCGAAGAACGTAGCATCGTCTCGGGTAGGTTCACTATGTCCTGGGGGTCCAAGGCCTTGAGTTTGACCTCAAGACGATGCCACTCCACTACGAATTTGGTCGGAGGGACCGCGCCGGCGTTCTGGCGCAGCTTGCACAGGACGGGCCTGTAATCTGAGTCTAGTTCATGGATTGTCTCTTTCGACTCGATGTCGAGCGAGACCTCTTTGAATATACATAATGTTCTAGGATACTCGGTGTCGCGTGTTGGTAATTTTCCACCGTAGGCTACCTAGTGGGATCGCAGGAGCGATTATGCTAAAGTTAAAGTTTGATGACTCCGTGGCGCAGTTGCCAAGTTGGCTTCGGCATCGGGGGTCGTGGGTTCGATCCCCACACGGGACAACTATTTGTGTGACCCCACAGATGGTTGTTTCGCATCTGGGTGTTTGTCCACGTGAAATTTATGTTTGTAAAACGTCCTTACAACACAGAATAATATTATCCTAAAGTAATTAATAAAAGTAAAGGCGACGCATTAGTGGGCGCAGAGGGCACCGAAGATGGCGGCGTGGCAACTGCCGGTGAAGCTCGGCTGTCGCTGGCAAACTCGACGACTAAACATTGTTCTTTTGCGAACGTGAGAAAGTTTGCCCACACTTCGGAACATCGTTGGCGAATGAATTCCTCTAGGAGGCTTACGCTTAAGCCTTTGGGGCTTGCGCCCCAACGGCGTGTAAATTATTAAATAGACCTCTCCACCTTGCGGCAGGGACGTGTGTGCCTAAATCTAACAACTAATTCGCCTGCGCAATGCCGCCTCTGAGGCGAAGTGTGTATAGAATTCTACTTACAGAACAGGAACCTGCCTACAACACTAAACTACTGCACTGCTTTCACAATGATTTAAATTGCAACCGAAGTTGCAAGTAGCGTCTAATTCGGGTGGCATCAGCCCTCCGTCTTAGAAAGAGGTCCATTCCATACGAGAGCATGAAGCGGAGTTTTTTTTCTTTTATTTATTAAGACTAGCGGTCTGTGCAGCTATTGTCCTGTACACACGATTTAATGTAATAATTTTCACAGTAATCAAAATCAATCCGTAAAATGAAACGTAGCAAAAAGGACTACATTAATTGCTGGGAGGGAAATCCCCGTTAAATCAGTTGGTATTCCAAGTTGAATAAAATTAGTATAAACTGATAGAAACTCGTCTCTGTCTTGTAAAGGGGCCCATTCACTATCCTGCCTGGCAGTCCGCCGCTCTATGCAGGATCGTGAATGGTGTTGCAGGCCTGCACAGTTTCTGGCAACACCGAGCAGGACGCACCTTGCATCCTGAAAGGGACCTGCAAGCTCCGCCCACCGCTTGCAGTCCGCCGCGCAGGAGTGTCAGTGGTTTGGCCGTCCTGCATAGCGGCAGTGTTGCCATATGAAGAAAAAAAAATGCACTAAGCCCTTAGCAAAATTGCGCTATATTATATGAAAATACGTATGCTAAATTAGGATTTTTTTTTCGTAAATTTACACAGTACAGATTTACAACAGAATTTTTTGAAATATTTTTAGGAATTAAATTTTATTCACATGTTAGAAAAAAATCTATACAGGACGGAGTATTTTTTTTAACAAAAAAAAACGTGTCCATCCCGGGTAGCCCGACTGATGTTATAACTAAAACTAAGCTAAAAAACTTTTTTATATTGAAATAGTTCAACTTGAGAAAAGCTTAGATTATTACTTAAATTTTATGTATATTAGTATGATAATGTGAGGAAAGGTTATTTATTAATAAAAACTTTCATCTAACAACAAAAAAAACATAGCAGAATCGCTACTTTCTTTCTTTTTTCGATACTTCACGTAAATCCATAAATATTACAACAATAACACTGACACTATGATGGACAGCTTGCAGGATAGTGTGTGGGCTACATCCTGCTTTGCAGTCCTGCACGGCGGACTGCCAGGCAGGATAGTGAATGGGCCCCTTAAAGGAACAATAAGCTGACATGATGATGATGTACGATAAAAAAATATGTATTATTTTTTTATCGTACATCATCATCATTTCAGCCTGTTTAAGTCCACTGCTGAACATAGGCCTCCCCCACAGACTGTCTTGATCGACTTCCCGCACATTTGCACACGTCACTCCTCCAACACTGCGATGGCCAGTTCGAGGCTGCCACTCGAGAACCTTTCTTCCCCAACGGATCGGTTCTACGAGCTATATGACGGCCCATCGCCACTTCAGCTTACTGATCTTCTAGGCTATGTCGGTTACTTTTCTTCTACTGCGGACCGGATATCTTCATTACGAACCCTATCACGCAGAGAAATACCGAGCTTAGCCCGCTCCATAGCTCGCTGAGCGACTTTGAGCTTCCTCATACGGCCAGCAGTATCGTACATTGTAATCCATTATTCGGTCAGAATTTTTTTAACTGTTAACATATACCTTTTTTTGTTTTTTTTTTTATAATGAAATCACTGTATCAAAATTTTGAAAATACTGTATTTTTAGCAGGCAGCACTGTCATTCTTCTTTCGTGATCTGGAGGCACTCATCTACGTAATTATGTATAATCTATTGGCACACCTCTAGTTTGCTCACAATGGCCACTGGCATATCGGGCAGCTGTCAATGACATATTCGTTTGCTTCGTGTAAATTTTGTGATGTACAATTTTCAAATCCGTCTGTTTATCAATGAATATGGTTTATATTAATAGATAATGGTTATTTATATTTTCGCAATTCTATTTTAATGAGTAATAGCATATAAAAGAAAAATCCGTACTGTTTTTTTGTTATAATGGAGGATCTCAATTTGACAGAGACCGAAATGAGATATTTCGGTGACTTGTTTTTATGTTGCGACGAGGAATCCAATGGCAAAATACCTATTTTAAAAGCAACAGAATTGTTTAGGTCGTCTAACGTACCAAATGATGTTTTACGTCAGGTAAATTTAATAAGCTGTCTCAGTTTGACAACGTTAATTATGTTTAAGTTCGTTCATTAATGATTATTCGCACTAATTATACATTACAGATCATGGATATCAGCGTAGCTCCAAACAACTGTGCTTTGTTGAACCATATGAATAGGAAACAGTTTTATTCTGCGCTCAAATTGATAGCAGCACATCAGACAAATATGTCATTAAAACCTGAACTTCTCTCAGCTCCTTTGGATCTTCCCCTTCCAAGGTTTACATGGGCACTTAATTCTGATGCTAGTGTAGATCTAATTCAATTATCAAATTCGCCAAAAGAACATTATTTATCCAAAAGGGAGAGGAATTTTGGTGGAAATGTTTGTGCATATGAACCAATAAGATTGACATCTAATTTGTCAGATAGCGATGTACCACAAGCCTCGTCTCACGATGCTACAGAAGGTCTGAGTACAGATTCTGAAATAGAATCAGAAACAACGTCTCAAAGATCGGGTTCTTGTGCGGTAAGTTTACAAGATAAACAGTATAGATGTTCTTATATTTGAAGTTATAATTTGAATGGTGTTAATACATTTGGTCAAATAATTATTACTTAAAACCTTAATAGTCACATAATTTACATGTACATAATTAGTAGTATTAATGAAATATCACTTTAACAAGATCAACTTTGTATTTAAATAACCTTGATGTTGTATGAACATCTATACAGATGTTTTATGTATAGATGTCATTAAACTCTTATCAGTTAGAATTATCTAGACACAGGTATGTCACTGAGTATGTGAAAACGAAAGTTTACACATTGATGTAGGTAATTCAAATTTAACTTTGATATTATATCATAATATATCACATATTAATTTAAATAAAGAAAAACTAATCAGATATTAGTTACACATTTAATATATCATTTGCCTCAAGATTGATATTCAATGCTTTGTTTGTCAAATTTTGCTACTTAACCTTGACAATATTTTGTTGTTGCTGTGTTATTTAGGCTGTTATATTTATAAAATTTATATTTTTGTTGATTTATGATTTTTACATTTTCCTAATCAAGGTTGTGGTGAAATTAGCTGAACTGTTTAAATAACACAAATTTAATTAAAAATCTGATATAATGATCTAAATATAGATATCAGATGTAAATACAGATATAATACAGTTTAAAGTTTAACCCTCACTAATTTAGATATCAATTCAATGATATTTTATACTACAAATATATTGTTAATGTGCCCAGAGTGAAGACACAGAAACAACAATTGGGAGATATTCACAGCAAACAAGGAAAGAGACAGCAAATAAGTTTAAAATGGGGGTGAGAATGTCTGCTTGAAAAACACTAGATGTATTATTTTTTATTATTTAAATTACACAATTCTTTTCACCCCATTTGGAAATAGGAACACTTTTGACTGGTGATTTTGTATGTATATAATATATCCACATTATAAAATATCATTGTATGAATTCTAATGTTTTAACTTTGACCATTTAATTTGTACTTTAGTCTAGATCAGGGGTGAGCAACCTTTTTAATCAATGGGCCAATTTAAATTTAATTTTTTTTTTTGGCGGGCCGCATGTTATAAATTACGAAACTTTATTTATAATAAATAAATATAAAATTAAAAAAGTAGTAAAGATTTCATATACAAATTTTAATGCAAGGTACAAACAAACAAGAAAAGAACAGAGAAATGAACAAAAAATATTTCGGTTCAGTATGTACTACCATTTTATTATAATTAATTTTATAACAATATATTGATGGGAGAAGTTCGTTAAATTAAATTCAATTTTAGAAATGTTTGGCGGGCCGCATGAACATGTTTAACGGGCCGCAAGCGGCCCGCAGGCCGCGCTTTGCTCATCCTTGGTCTAGATCATATAAAATAGATTTAGTAGCTTACTTATATACAATATATAGACAATAAGACAAGGAAGACGCAAACGAAGCTACTCACTATTTCATAGAAACACTTCAAATAATATTATTACGGAATACAATAAAAATTAAAACTTCGGCTAGGAATAGAATATTAAAGCCATGGTTAACATTGGGCGTTTTAAAATGTTTAAGAAATCGAGACAATCTTCACAAAAAACTAAAAAAAGATCCTAATAATAATACTCTGCTCACTATCTACAAGAGGTATAGAAATTTCTGTTCCAATTTATTAAAAAAATCAAAACGGGAATATGCAAAACTACAACTTCAAAACGCAAATAAAAACAACAAGAAGTTATGGAAAGTTTTAAAAGAAATCACACACACTAATAATCCAAAAGATATACCGTATGAACTCATAAATACTATAGACCCCTCCAAATCATTAAACAGCGTCAACAATTATTTTGCAAACGTTGGTAAATCATTGGCAGAAAAGATAAATAAAACAAACTTACAATCACAACAACAATGCATCTTAAAATCGTGCCCAAAGTCATTTGTACTACTCCCGACTGATGAAAATGAGATTGGAGCACTAATAAGCAATCTTAAGAATGATAGCGCCGTTGGTCTGGACATGATTTCTGCAAATATTATTAAGGAAAACAAAGAGATATTAACTAAACCCATAACTTTCATTTGTAATCTCTGTTTTTCAACTGGAGTGTTCCCATCACTACTTAAAAATTCTAGAATTTATCCAATTTATAAAAGTGGTGATAGGGGCTGTATCAATAATTATAGACCAATTTCTATACTTCCAACTCTGTCCAAAATCCTAGAACGTGTTATTAACAAAAGGTTAATGAAGTATCTTGAGAACAATAAATTACTTTCTTCCGTACAATTTGGTTTTAGGTCAAAAAAATCAACTTCAGATGCAGTTCACGAATTATTAAACTTCCTGGTCACTAGCCTTGACAGTAAAAAGAAAACCATTGCAATATTTCTGGACCTTGCCAAAGCATTTGACACCGTTTCTACCCCTATCTTGCTAAAGAAACTAGAATATTTGGGTATTCGGGATCTCCAGTTGAAACTATTCGAAAGTTATCTGACTGATAGGACACAGCGTGTACAAATAGATAATTACTCAAGTGAGGATGCTTCAGTATGTTTTGGTGTACCACAGGGTAGTATCTTGGGTCCGTCATTGTTCCTCACATATATCAACGATCTGTGTCAGTTAACACTCCCTAAGGCTAAAATCGTTACTTTTGCTGATGATACAGCGTTATTATTTTACGGGGACATGGGATGAAGTTTATACCAATGCGCAGTTAGGTTTTAATATAGTAACACAATGGTTGAGAAACAATGTTTTGACTCTTAATATTGCGAAGACCAAATACATCACATTTTCTCTAAGAATGGCACAATCTGACACCAATCACCTTAATATATTATCTCACAATTGTAATGACTACAATGAATCTAGTTGTATGTGTTCTAGTATTGAACGAGTTAGTTCAATTAAATACTTAGGTGTCATAATTGACAGTAAACTGAGTTTTCAGGAACATGTTGAAATGTTAGCAAGTAGAATTCGTAAGCTAATATTTATATTCAAAAACCTACGTCATGTAGCCAATAAAGAGATAATTAAATCAGTCTACCTTGCTCTTGGCCAGTCACAGCTTAGTTACTGTATTACTGCCTGGGGTGGAGCAACTAAAACCCTACTACTGAAACTCGAAAGAGCTCAAAGAGTAGTATTAAAAGTAAGTTATTTCCTACCATTCTCCCATCCAACCGTTGACGTCTATAGGCAGAGCAGGATTCTCACAGTCAGACAGCTTTATGTTCTACACACAGTCTCGAAGCAGCATTCTTTGCTGAAATATGAACCCCATTTGATAAAGGAACGACGTAGAAAGGACATTGTTTGTAAAACCCCTTATTATAAAACCTCTTTTGCGCACCGCTTCTTCTGTTATCAAGGCTGCAACCTTTACAACAAGATTAACAGGATCTTATCAATATACCCCCTTCCAATGACGAAATGTAAGGCTGTAGTAAAGGAATGGTTACAATCTTTAGACTACAATACTACGGAGATTCTAATTGATTAATAGAAACACAAGGCATTTAATTTAATTAATTTTTTAATTTTAATTTTTGTTATTTATCAAATTTTCATCACCATTTTGTTCACTAACACTTCAAGTATAAATTCACACATTAATTGACGTATACAACACTCATAAACACACACACACACACACACACACACACACACACACAGTTACTTAAGACAAATTATTTTATGTACAATTATTCCAGCTTTGTTAACTATGCTTGTCCGTGGGGTGAGGACCTGGTGATCTGTAATACAGGTTTTTTACACCTATAATAGACACCAGCTCCGCACAATTACCTGATTAAATTTTTTACTGAAGCTGTACCAACTTATGATATTGTATCTTGTTGTCATGCATTGTGTGGAGAAATAAATACATTATTATTATTATTATTATTATAATATTAAAGTCTAATTTATATTTATAATAAAGTGATTTTCTTTTATTTATATCACTACAATATTTTAATTTTATTTTCTATTTTTATAATATTTTCAAAATTGGAGTAATGCTTATATGCAACTCAGCAAATTTCTTTTATGTGCATGCCTGGAAAAGTTTAATGCTTTTTCTTTAATTATAGGTTCTTTTTAGTGCCTAATAGTATAAACCTTTTATTAGACTCTTATCTATTTCTATTGAATTCACATTGACAAATTTTCAGGTCATAATTAGTGATTGTTGAGGCATACATACATAAAATTTGTTTGCAAATGTCATTATATTATCAATAATGTTTCTTTTCTTCTATTATGTTTGCCTTTATTTTACTTCTTGACTATGAATGACATATCCTTCACTTCAGAGGAGAGTCAAGACTGGATCACCATGGAGCACCGCAAGCGAGAGCCCGACGCCCACCAACAGCGTAGCGGAGCGCGTCCATCCAGTGTGGGAGCATAGCGCCACCGGCCGAGGCGTTTGGCCCACAAACACCGCCGAAGAACACACACGCTTGCTTGGTAAAGTAAATTATATTTACAAATAGTTCATAAGTATTTTTTTATGTGAGAATACAGCAAGCAAGCTGGTTCACCTGATGTTCAGTGATAACCGCCACCCACGATTTCCAACTACCATAGGGTTAACGCATTGTCACCTTTTAATAAAGTGGGCTCCGGCTATCTCATTCAATAGATGAAAAGTAGAATAATGTAACACTTTCAATAGATGTAACACTTCCACACCAGTCTCCTGTAAGGTCATGGTACTTACCTGGAGAGACCTGCCCATTCATGCAACACCGTAAACTGTTTGCGTACCCCTACCACAGTTATGAATAACGATTAATGTGATTAGTTAGACAGCCAAGTTATCTCTGCCTTCTTGGCATACTAAGGTATAAATTGTGATCTAAGAATATTATTACATAGATTATATATGTATTAGTTTTATTTCTATCCATCAAGTAAACGCTGACAGATATCTCAATCCAGCCACTATTTTTTCTCTGAATCTCTTATATGAAGCTTCAGTAGTCTTCATTCTGAAGTTATTACACATTTTATTTTTAGTGACTCATATTATTTAGGTTTAAAAGTTTTATCTCTCGTAACAAAAGTCAATAGGGTTATTCTATTTGTTAATTCAGTATATAAGTATCTTCTTTTTGAATTCTATTTTAATTTGTTAACCATTACAAGCATGAAGTGGGAAGAAATACACTCGCACTTAAGTGCGCTTTTTTCGCATTAAAAAAAAGTAAAATCTATATGTAATCGCATCACATCACATTTCACCACAATATATGCTGCAACCTGTTAATAACCTTAATATTAGTGACAACCTATTTAGACTCAAAAGATTAGTAACTAATTAAATGTTTCTATACATATACATTTGAAATTATTTTTATTGAAACAATGCAAGATGTTATTCAGATTTAATTTCCCATGCCTTTTAATTATCCCAGGGCTTTTTATTATCCTATTTTTAGTTATTATTTTGCTTCTTCATGGCCACAAATAGCTTGAATGTGTTAATTGGAACCTGTCTGATATATTAATTATAATTGGATGTTGGAATAAGGGATCTTATGTAGTGTAAAGGCAACCCAGCAGTCGCACTACTGAGTACCAAAGTTACAGTCTCAAACAGTAGACCCAAGGAAAGTGAGTGAAGTTTTCTATTCTTGCATTTTGTCTGTTAAGTGAGATAACGTTTTTCCTATCATAATCGGCGGGATAATTCTTTGCAGGCACTGAGGAGGAGTCATCGGACAGGCATTCCTCAGAAGAGGAGGGCGGAGTCGAGGCAGGGGACGAGGTTTGGGCCATCAGCGATGTGCAGGCGAATCACTACGCGGCCCAGTTCGCCCAGTTGCGCCCAGAACGCGGCCTCCTGTCTGGTCAGACCGCCAGGTACACAAGTAAATACATATATTGGCCATCAAAGTCAGCAGAGACTTGGTAGGCTTCTCCTTTGGGTTCGAATTTGAATCACAACAAAACGCAGTGTGAACATGCCATTTGCGAAGTGCGAATTTACAGTTATTTTTTTATGTGTCTGAGCCTCATTTTACTTTTTTGTTTGGAAATATGGCAACAGTGCAAGTGATGAACCCGATGGTAAGTGATTACAACCACTCATCTTCAAATTAGCTCATACTGTGCCAAGAAAGGTTATTTGAAATCATAAAGATTGCCTGTATACTTAGATTAAAGAAAATCAAGTGTATGGATTATACATAAAAGACATCCTGTGTAGTGTGCTATATCTAATTTAGAAATATAATAATATAGACAGCTATTATTAGAATCCTAGTTAATATAAATCAAACAGATAGCTGTAAACCCCACTTTAAAAAGCTAAATATACTTACCTTACCAAGTTTTTATATATATGAAATATGTAAATTTGTTCGAAAAAATCCTTGGCTTTATCAAAAGCGCAGTGAAATTCCTGTACAATACAACTTACGATATAAAGATAGACTAATGCAACCCACTTCTACACTACAATTATACTCAACGAGTCCCTATGTAATCCATCAAAATATATAACAAACTTCCGCAAATATTAAAAGACGAAAAAAACAATAAAAGTTTCCTAAAAAAATTAAAAGAATTGTTACTTTCCAAGTCATATTATGTAAAGAATATAAAGAATATTTTGGAGATACCTTGGATATTATAGATATGAATAACACATAATGATCTCACATTATAAATATATTAAACAAATTACTCATAATTAATATATAAATTAAAACTAATAAATGTTACCTATAAAAATAAATAGCCTCTCAAAATACCAACTACATATACAAGTACCCCATTAAATTACCTAAGTGATACATCTTGCTCTCTCCGAATTTATGATTTGTTTTGTACTATGCCCTATAAACAGGGTCCATAAAGAACTATTTTACTAATTACTACTACCCTAACACCTTTTTGTTACTTAATGGATGTGCAATAAATAAATAAATAAATTATATAGCATCACATAAATATAAATAATTAATTCAAAATTTCTCGTGCATTTTTTCGCTTTTCGATTTACTTTCTTTAACATTCCAAAACTGTGTTCTTTATACAGATTATTCTTTGAGAAGTCGCGGCTCTCCGTGCTGGATCTCCGAAAAATATGGCAACTATCGGATATCACGAAAGACGGTATGTTGACTCTCGAAGAGTTCAGCATAGCGATGCACCTCATTGTGCTGAGGCGGAATAACGTACCCGTTCCCGACGTGCTGCCCGCATGCCTAGTACCCAAAGTGGACTCCCAGTTCTCGCGGCATGCGGTCACCACCGACCTGGTCGATCTCGGCTCCGACATGTTCGGCTCCGGGACCTCGGCGGACTTCAACTTTGCGCCTAGGCCCGAAACAAACGACCCGTACGAGAGCATACCGCCGAAGAAGCCGGACGAGCGCCCGCCATCACTCACGCCACCCAAGCCCGAGCCGCTGGTGAACAACAAAGAGTGGACCAAGTTCGTCGACTCGCCGACCTCGAGCGTGTCCAGCCCCGGCCCGAAGCCGGTCAACTTCGACTTCCACAAGTCGGCAGTGGAGAGGGACCCCAAGATCTTCCACCCGGTCGCGCTGAGGGTCACCCCGGACGCGGGGTTGCCCGCGCACGGCGACGGCGACATGCGCTCCAGCGCGTCCCCGCGGCGGGACGACTTCGCGCACGCGTTCGAGCTCGCCAGCCCGAAGCGGCTCAACTGCGCGCCGCCGGAGCCGCACAACGGCGGCGGCCCCGAGATCAAGGCGATACAGCGACCGCAGCCCAAGAAGCCGCTGAAGAGTGCGGGCGTGCTGCCGCCGCCGCCCGCCAGGGAGCCGTCGGTGCACGCGGAGGACGGGCCGCAGTCGCTGCAGTACCCGCCCAAGAAGGAGCCGCCGCCGCCGCCCCCGCCTCGCCCGCTCAGGAACCACGCGCGCTCCAGCTCGCTGGACCTGAACCGGCTGAAGGGCGCGCCGGCGCCGCCGCCGCAGCCGCCGCCGCGCACCTCGCCGCCGGCCGCCTCGCCGCCCGCCCGCCGGCTGCCCAGCCAGCGCAGCGAGGGCGAGCCGAGCCACGCGCCGGACGCGTTCGCGCCGCGCGAGTACGACGGCGAGGGCTTCGGCTACAACCGCGAGGACGCGCCCAAGATGCACGGCGCCTTCGAGGTGTACCGGAAGGCGTCGCGCGACTCCGCCGGCGAGGCCGACCCGGACGTGAGGGCGCTGCAGGAGCAGAACGCGGTGCTGCACCGCGTCTGCCGCGCCCTCTGCGCCGAGTTGGCGGACGTGCAGCGCGAGCGGGAGGCGCTCAGGGTGCGCCTCGACGCCCACGCGGCGCCCCTCTAGTCACACCGCCACGGGCCCCGAGTCAGTGCAGCGAGCGGTTCCAAGTGGTAGCCATCGAGGCCGTACGTGGTCCTCTTATAATAACGTTTGGTCGACTCGGGATTTAAAGCTAAAGGGGATAATTTCGAATCCCCGCAGTAATTTTTTATGCAGTAGGCCATGATAACAATGGTTGTCTCATGTTAAATTTTTACCTGATTACATTTTGTTTATGCGATGACCTGAACTTTCAGCAATTGACTTCTCTAGAACATTACTGATACGCATTTGGGATAGTGGATAAATTGGGCAAACACTATCACAGCAAGCCATGAAAGTTTACCACTTCTCACATCCACGGCATGAACTGTTATTATAATCCCTCCCATCACTACTCAATGCAAATCTCAAAGAATCAATGTGTAATAGGTCAAGACAAATCATTAAAAACGGCCCACAGATGGTCTCACTTATTCCTCAAGGTCTCGTACTGTCGACCAGCGTGCATCTAAGATTCTTCGTGCCTATGTTATTGTTGTTTCGTTGTTTTTCTATTATAATCTCATAAGGAAAATCATTTTTGAACCATTTATCGTGATCGCTGATTGTTATTACATTTATATATATTCGAAATATCAAAAAATTCATCTATCCCGCAAACTTCTCAAACTGTAAAATTTGTTGACAAAAGCCGCGCATGCTGAAAGGCACTAAATGTTCTAAAGTGAACGCCTAAATACCGCCTTCGTCGTCACTTTCTCATATGAATTTATTTGGAAATATAGAGAATCTATAACGGCTTTGATGCTGTACATGTGAATAATGTGACTACATTATTAAAAATTGTAGAATAAATATTTTAAATTATTGAAAAAGAATTGAAAATGGTTGTCGTCACATAATAATAAAAAAAAATATTTATGTCTATACGACCTATAAACAACTAGATCAGAATAAAAGTTCATTTTACTTTGAAAATATTAATAACTGAAACATTTAGTAATTAAAAGTGCTTTCAATAAATTGTAATGCATTACCAGTTTTCATAAAGATAATGACATATAGTTTCATCATATTGCCAACGCACTTGTGAAAAAATTTCTTCAGAGTTGGTTAAAAATTTTATAAATTTATACTACTAAACATCGAAATTAAAGAGGCTAAAATGAAACAATAAGAAAAAACAATTTTCTCTCATCTATACTATAACCAATATGGTTTGTGGTATTAGATAATCAGTTTTTTACAGTATGATTTAGAATTATCATATGATGTATACTTTGAATTATTTACTATAAAAGGACTGTTATGTGTATATGAAACTACCTCAAAAGTTTAAAAATTCATTGGCATATTTTCAGAAAGTGCTTAATTTGAAATTACTGTTTGTAGATTTCACAAAGTACATTTTATTATAGTTGTGAAAAATAAATGTTTGTAGTGCGTATTGATGTTATACTTTAATGTTTCCGATTTTGATTTGATAGAATAAATAAAGAGATAACTTTATATCAATTTAAAAAAAAATTCCCTACACAAAAGTGACAGCATTGAATATTCTTGTATTTTTATATATTCATGCAAAATTATATAATAATATTGTAATGAGTTGAATGTATACAATAAAAATAAACAAAGGCGCTATAATAGCTTGCATTGCATTCCTTTTTTAATTATAATACGCTTTTTGTCGTAAAAAAAAAATTGAATATAGATATCAACAGGCAAAAAGTGTCATTGTGAATGTTGTATATTATGAGTTAGAATTAGATATTGTAAAAATTAAATCAAGATTTATGAGCTGAAAATGAAAGACAAAGACTTGAAATATGGTTAAAGGAGTTTCAATAGATAGCTACATTTTTATTTGAGATATATGAACAAAGCAAATTGTTATCAATTAATATCCATATATTAATTACAATATTAGCAATAGTAAAACAAGATAAGCTTGAAAACATGTATTATATAAGATTGTTGTAAAAGTATTTATCGTTTATTTTTAGTTATTTTAATATAAGTAGGATTCTTTTCCAGCTCGCTTATTGCTATGTAAATACTTTTATCTCTCCTATAGCGAATAAACTGGTATCTGTCAAAGCTTGACGAATCACTGATCTATATTTCGGTCCAATTTTTGTAATACTAACATTCACCATTATATTTACCTATTTATGTTTCATAAAGATATATACAGTGATTCATATTATTGTAGCAACTATGTACAATAAAATTATTTAAAAAAAATTGCTTTATTTAATTTTTAGAAAGATTCCCTTGTATTTTTTTCCTATAATATTATATTTCCATGTAAATATTCCATTGAAATCATTGTTATTTAAAAAAAAGAGTACTCAAAAAACGTGTTGTTAAAGAGTAATCTTAATAGGAAAAAATATTGTAAATTACGACCTATACTGATTTCCAATCTACAATGGTCCTTTAATCTATCCTATCTTATAACAGCTATCGTTGTTATCTAGAAATCGATATTTTTGATAGACCGAGTGATAAAATAATAAATTCTCCATATTTCGTCAGGTTCAATTCTCAGATACATTTACAACTACGTAGTCAAAACAAAAAATAATAAGACTTCTAATGAGGCGCGATAGCATATATGTATATTTAAATATGGTGTCTACCAAACGGATGGATATATTAAAGTCAAGCGTAAATAATCCGCTTATATCTGCCGCTGCGAGATACGGTCTTTATCCGATAACAAGTATTGAAAATGGCCCGAGGTTGCGAGCACAGTCGTCCACTTAACGAGGATCTCGCTGAACACCGACCACGGCCGGTCAACATTCAATAACGAGACTGCTCACCACACCAAATTCTCTCCGATGAAGCATCGCGCATACCTGTAGTCCTTTTTGTTCGGGGCAAGGGGCTCTCCCCGCAACTACAAAACAACATGAAAGAAATAGTCAGTCGTATCGCGTGTTTCGTTGCGTGCGCACGTATTTCAACATTATAATTGCGTTCGCGCGTAAATAATTACGATTACTATGAGATTTCTATAGTAAACTTTCGTAATTAAAATGAAGTGCCTCAACATGATCCTTTTGTTTGTGACTCTAGCTATCGGAGCTACCGCAGAGGCTTCCGTGCGGACATGTGAACCGATTAAAGTGGCGATGTGCAAGAACATTGGTTACAATCAAACTGGCATGCCGAACCTGGCACGGCATACATTGCAAGTGGAAGCTGATGTGACTCTACAGACATACAGTCCCTTAGTTCAGTACGGGTGCTCCTCACAATTGCATTTATTCCTCTGTTCTGTTTACGTCCCGATGTGTACAGATAAGGTCGCGCTCCCAATCGGACCATGTAGGGGGCTTTGCGAGAGTGTTTACTCTAGGTGTTATCCCGTCTTAAGAGGGTTCGGATTCCCCTGGCCGTCGGAGCTCGACTGTTCGTTGTTCCCGGCTGAAAACAATCATGAACATATGTGCATGGAGGGTCCCGGCGAGCGAATGCCACCGATCGGGACGATCCCGTTGGATGCGGCTACGACAACTGGACGAGGCGCTTGTCGCCGGCTCGTGAAACCGAATAGCTGGGTTTGGGTCCGGGGTACCGGGCGGTGTGCGCAGTTTTGTGACGCGGAAGTACTGTGGGAAGCGGGCGAGCGGAGAGCGGCGGAGGTTTGGCTGGCGACCTGGGCTGCTCTGAGTTTCGCGTGTACCCTGGCCGCCGTCGGAGCTCAACTGGCTTGTGGGGACAGAGGCGGAGCAGGGGAACGGGCGCTCGTTCTGGTGGCGCTGTGCCGATGCGCTGCGGCTGCCGGCTGGGGAGTCCGCGCCGCGGCTGGCCGGTCAGCCGCTGGCTGCGCGAAGGACTCCATGTCTCCAACTCGCATGTTACTGGCACACGACGGCTTGGCGAATCCCAATTGCGCCGTCGTGTTTCTGCTGTTGTACTACTTCGGGCTTGCGGCATCCGTTTGGTATGTATATTGCTATGCTATGCTGTTACATTTCCATAAACAATGTTACTAGCACCGAAAACAAACAGATTAGCTTTGTAAGGTAATATAAACAACAACTATACCGATGCATTATTGACATAAAAACGAGTGGAAATTGCAAAATGGTCTCTTTATACAATCATGCCTAGGATAGAATTTACAAAAATCATTCATTGACAATGTTAATTTTTGCTCATTACTGCAAGTTATAGAGTAAACATGAAGTAAAGTGCAAATGACAAAACTACTAAAATGAAGCTCATGTTACAAAAGGAGCACCGTGATTGTTTAGAAATGTATTTTTATTACAATAAGGCTCGCGGTCGTCATTTCTTACCTGCTTTTTTGTACCATTGCGATCCCATCTTAAGCTTACTTTTGTCACCTGTTAATTATCTTCTGTCACTTGCTTTCTGTTGTAAACTTTTAAAGTTATTCTTATTATGCGTCCGACTATTGAATAAATTGTAAGAGAATGTAAAGGTACCGAAGTATTGTAATATACTATTTCTAAACATAACGATGTTGGGCTTTAAGTGTTTTCACTCTGTCGCGTAGAATAGTTATACTTGTACATTACATACTGCTTCAGAAAAGCTCGCAGTTGTAATCTGAACCGGGATTTCTTAGTATTGCTACGACACAGCATATCTCATTGTTTGTTTGGTAGTAAATCGCGCTTTAAGATTTCTTGTAATATGGAAATACTTTTCTTTTAAACGTTATACAAAAGCAAAGTTTGTATAACTATTGATTAATTCTATTTTTAATTCCTTGAATTTATAAAAACACCTAGCGTAACAGCCATTTACAAGGTATGCCACGTATCCATCCTTACAAAAGTTTCTGCTAAACGGTCGACATAATAAATCAGGCACGTTCTTTAAAATTACCTACATCGTTTTTAGACTCAAAAGGTTAGGTTTTTAACTATATAGAATTGGGGAACGAAATTAACAAGTACGATAAATCTTATATTTACGGAATAATACAGAAAAATACGAACTATTAAGTAACTTCTAACGGCTTGGTGCTAAGATCACTAGTTATTGAGTAAAATTGTCGTAAAACAAATATTACGTTACAAAGCATCTAATATATCCATAGTATACTTTTAGAATGTTATAATGAAGTGTAAAATGAAAGATGAATTAAAAGCAAATAACGATATAAATGTATCTGAGAAAAAATATAAATAGCTTGTGTTTTAACTCGGGGCGTTGTTTGAAAATGAGCACGACGAGTACAAGTGCGTCATCTCCACAATAATTTTAGAATACTGGATTTAGAGATGAAATCGCGGCATAGTTTTATGCTTGGCTTTCATCATAGTGACAAGGTATTGATGACTCCGTGGTGCAGTTGCTAAGGTATCGGCTTCGGCGTCGGTGGTCGCGGGTTCGATTCCCACACGGGACAACTATTTATGTGACCCACAGATAGTCGTTTCGCATCTGGGTGTTTGTCCGCGTGAAATTTATGTTTGTAAAATGTCCTTACAACACAGGATAATGTTATCTTAAATAAGGGCAATGTTTAAAAAAAAGGTATCTAATCTATGTCACTATATTACGTATTTTGTTTTAAAATCAAATCTTATTATAACAAGCTTTAATAACTAATAGAGAAGCAAGACTTGACTACTAACTCTGAGATACGCTTCCAAAAAAAATACAATATTTGTATAAGGAATAAAACTTAAAATATCCTTCCCCTTGTTGAACAACTCGTAAACTTTTAAAACGACATAGTATAGTCATTGCCACAACTTACTTCGTTAATACTTTAATTTATTTTATTTCTATTACTCAACAGGATCGACATCGCTTCTTTTTAATAACATATATAACATTTTGGGTAATTTAATTAATAACATATATAACCCTTGTCGTCGTTTTTAACATTTAATAAAATATAAGCTACCAGCTGTAACTTATCAGCTAACCCTGGACGTTACTCGATACAAGAGTTGACTTTGATGCATAAAAACCAGCCCTTAGCCATACACCAACTGAATTGGTTATATGTCAGGGTAAATTTTACTTTATTGCGCGGGAATAAAGATGTGTGCAACGTAAATTTATTTGTAAATCAGTGACCGGCGCGTCGTGGATGCTGAGCAAAAACCAACCGCGTTACATTTCTACATAAATGTTTGCTTAATAGGAAGGAACTTACCGAATTTATAAAATGAGCTTCGACCTCAATGCAGCTTCTTCGATGTTCATTTAAGGTCACTAATATTACTGTGAACGTTTACAAAAATTATGCTATTTTGATGCATATAAAATGGTATATTTTAGCAATACTTATAATTTTTTTGTAAGTATTGCTAGAATTTATCTATAAATATAGATTTTTGAATAGTCTACTAAGAATAGACGCTCAAAGTTTTTAGACCGGCTCATTTATTAATACTAGTATTTCTTTTTTTTATTCTGTTAAATTATATAGTGTATAACTTCTTTATCATCTAAATCACTCCATTAAAACATTGCCCTTAATTTAGGATAACATTATCCTGTATTGTAAGGACGTTTTAAAAACATAAATTTCAAGCGAACAAACACCCAGGTGCGAAACAAATTTTTTTATAAAAGTGAAATAACCCTTTTAAGCAACATAAATTTCAAAAAGTTCTCCATTACAAATTTGTACCGGGACACATGAATATTTACCATAACGGTGTACCGTGGGTACCTACTTCATTTTTAAGAACAATTGAGTAAAACGACAAGAGCTTGTTGACTGTTCAAAAAAACTGCCAATCATCTGTCCTTCCCTAACAGACCCTTACTCGTAGCACTCGATGCTTGAAAATTTTAATGAACGCAATTATATGGTTAACTCCCCTATTATTTCGCGTGAATGTACGACTTAACATTTAATAACGACATTGCATTGATCAATCGAATTACTAAATTTAATTTTATATTAAGTCAAGTACCATCAGTATCACTCATATTACATTCACATAGTTTTATATTTCAGTCTTTACACTTTTCCTTAATTTAACCCATAATGTGATTGTTTGTGTTCGTTGTATTATTATTCGTTCCGTTTTTAAAACTATTTGCTTAATATGAACAAAATGCAGACGTTATTGAACATTACAAACTGGACACAAAATAAAGCGAATATTTTTCGAGGTCAAAGAGTAAATATAGAAGATTTGTAAATAACAATAACATATTTATTGTCAAACAAAGAAATAGCCATTGCCAGATGGTTCAAATTTAATGCACTAGAGCACAAGTTAAAATGACGTCAGAAAAGTATGGTTTTGTTTCCGCACCACAAACTTTAGACTACTTCTACATATGTAACACTAAAAGTTGAAGAATTGGCCACTTACATAAACAATATTGAAAAAGTAATTACAACATTTGAAAATATTTAGCGGACTGGTTATTATAAAAAGTTTGTTTTATCATTTCGAAATGTTAAAACTTTATGATTGCTTTTATTCCTTAATCACATATCGTAAATTGTTTTTTTTTTCATACATCGACGAGTTTCTCGAACAACACCCAATTAATTTTGGCAGCGGTCAAATACGGAGCATGTCGACACGGGCCTGCCGCGTAAACTTGTAACACCAAGTTTATGGCGGACGTTATTAATTTCTTAGAAAGCCAGAAATTTTGTTACTAAACCGACTCGTTATGATAATTTCACGTAGATTTATGTTACGGCGGTGCTCTTTGATAGCATATCTGATGGACCCTCTGACAGATATTAATGTATAGTGTTGGTAGTAATAACGCATCTTGTTTATCTGTGTTCTGTGTCTCGCTCTGGTCGATGGGAAACATTTAAATGAATAACAGAACCTAATAAGCGTTTCATTCTATATAACTTGCTTCGAAAACAAATTAATCATTCCTTGTTGTCTGAATAAATTCTGTTCGTGTAGGTTTGGTACTGTTGTGTAGAATATAGATTTTGAAAAAGGGATTCGTTAAATAATAGCTTAGAATTGGCATTAGAATGAGTTACTTTTTACCGTATGCACAAGATAATACTTTAAATTAACACATACCTATATTACAATTTTTTTATAAATTTCTGCTCTCTTGAAATTAAAACACTTAGCGTGTATTTAATAAACACAATTTATTTAGAGTGCTTAGATATGAAAATGCTTTCATTTATTTTCAAAAACATTCAACGCCATGTCTATTCCAAAACCCAAACTAGATCTATTAACATAATAACAGATCGCTCTCCATGGAACTAGTTAGATGAGCGCATGTTTTGGTTGCGGTGTAATGAGAAACGTCAAATTGGTTTTGTATTCATGCGCTGAGCAATGCATCCGACGGAACGTGAGGTCATTCCCGTTATGGTTGGTTCACACTGGAGCGAAACAAGAAGAATATTAACTGTTGAAAAACTTCAATCGCAAATACGTTCATGATTTGGCCAACTTGTCTTAATTTAAATAACTTATTCATATTAAATTTGAATAATTTATCTTTTTAGTCTAAAAATTAATTGTTTTCAATCGTATTATCGCATAAATATTGGATATTAAGTAAAACGATTAAAGTAAAACAAAAAAAATTTTCAGATATTATTTTCTAGTGTAATTTTTAATTTTTAATAATGTGTAATTATTTATAATTAATATAAAAAATACATTCAATGAATATACGTCCAAGCCGTTTAACTTGAACAAATGATACCGACACTACGATTATTTCCTCCTTAAATAACATAAATCTTTTTTTTTAGTTTCACTTGAACGAAATACGACGGCAATGAGTAAGGCAATAAAATATCTGTTACATGTAACATCTGGTGGAACTTACATTTATAAAATTAGATGACGCTCTGTTGAAAGCTAACGATTTACATTGAAAAATATGGAAATTATTGTTTGTTTTTGAAGTATGTAGGTAGGGAAGATTAATTATTACATTCAAATATACATAGATCGAGAGGCTTTACTTTACTGGCGTTATTGCTTATAAAAAAATGTATAAACACTACACTCGTGTTTTTAGTAGACTATATTATTATATTGTTAGCGAGAAAATTAGAAGCATTTTTTAACGTTTACAAGTCAACGTTAAAGATGTTTTGTCCTCAATATAATAAGACTCGATAACTTAATGAGTAATTTCGCTAGCAAGCCGCGCGCCGGTCAAATCCAAGGTGTATAATCATCGGCTGGTTCGTAAATTCTTGTTTATTTAAAATTTCCTTGGCGCTGCCGATGTAATCTTAACGCGAGCACGCCCCACCTTGCACTACGCCGCATTCTCGTAAAGCTGCACTGCGTTTTAACATTTTTATCGATGTTAAAATATTTATATCGTTGTCCCAAGTTTTAATGAGTGCGAATTTGAGCTAACTCTAAAAATAAAAGTGGCAGAATAAGAATGTATAGCAAATCTAAAAATTATGATACACCTAAATAAAAAAAAAGTGTTATTCTCCCGCTTTTAACATGTCGATGAAAATAGATTTATATGTATTATGTTTCTTCCTGTATTACCTTTAGTAAACATTCTATTTTTAAAAAGAAATAATACAAATCGTTTGAAATTACACAATTTTCTCGAGAGAGATACTATCGATATAATCTTAAGGAAGAGCTAGCTCATCCTTACAACCGAAGATGCGATCCCACCGCGCTCGCGTCGTAATTGGGATGCTAATCAGATGCTGAACTGTTTCCGTCACTGTTGCACTCGGGGGCTCAGAGCACCTCTCGCTCGCACGCCAGACCGTCGGAGGCGAGGTCTTCAATCATCTGGCAATGAGCGAGAGAAGTTTCCCTCGGGCGGCTTGATGTATAATCACTGTGGTTCGCGATGGCGGAATAATTTTCGTTTTTAACGAGCTGACAGTACGAGCCAACACACGGTATCGCAGGCTCGATGGATTGGGTACTAGCGACGTAGATGGGTTGTAAAATCGCCTGTACTTTTATGATTTCAGTTTCCTAGTAACTACTACTCGTCGGCTGCGATTTACATGTTCCTGGAATGGTTTTTTATGATATTACATTTATTAAGAGTACTAAAAGAAACTATGTATACCGTAATATCATTTCTAGAACTTAGTTTGTCTCTCTCGTAATAGATAAGGGGAGTTTGCTTTAACCAGTAATGTGCACTTGCTTTAGATAAGCAAAGGCGATGCGGAGATGCGTCTCCGCAACATTGTTATTTTTGCCCTGACGGTCTACAAAGGGAGCCGAGAGCTTGGGTTCTGCATATCTCGAGTTGGGATCGCGGGCGCAACCGCCGAGATGCTATCGGCCCATCCTTATTATTGGAACCCGCTTACTTGGGCCCCGAACGTATAGAAAATAAAACGAAAATGTAAGAACAGGTTTCATTAGTTAAATTTTTGGGGGAAAGAAAACGTGATCACTGCAATCTTTTTTTCACCACAGGGATTTGTGTTAAAAATTAATTGATTTTCGATAATACATAAATTATTTCAATAAAACACAAATTCATGGTAATATTATAACTATATAGCTAATATGATGGGAGGTAACCTTTTTTATTTTATCATTAACTGCTATTCCCTGAGCTCGTTAGGCGATGCACGCTTAGATATACCCCGCACGACCGGCCGCCCGCGTCTTTCCGTAGCCCGATACCATCGCCGCCATTGTTATTGCCCAACGGACACCGTCCGCCTTCGAAATTCAAATCCGTTGCACCTTTGCACTTTCCCCTGAAGATTTATTATCTACATTATTTATTAATGGCGCGATTTTTTAAGGGTTATGTTGTCACTTCTGTTAATCTGTATCAAATTATTTATTGAGCCCTTTTACTATCGAACTTTCGAAGATGTAAGATTTTATACGATATACGAAATATCATAGAATATTAATTTTGTTCTGTTTCGGACGGTGGGTGGTCGCCCCCTTACAAGATCTACCTTGTTTGTTGGTTTTCGATGATGGATCGGCGTGTAATTAAGAATTATTATCTTAAGGTCCGCCCATTACTCGAAACTTGATGCTCAGCAGGAAATCCAATTTTGTTTTAAAGTTCGGAGAATTCTATTAATGGTAATAAGCGGACATTAACAGCAACGTCAAAAGTTAAAAAATATTTATTAAATATACCATTTTTGATTATGCTATTGCTGTTAAATAATCAAACGTTTGCGTTGTTTTCTAAAAATTTATTCAATCTGCTGTTGATAAAACCCTAGCTTCAATACAAGCAACTATTCAGAAAATTTTCTGAGCAGTAGGTATATGACGTATATTGTTATTATGATTTTAATGGCTTATATATTATATAGCCTGAGAGCTAGCTCACTTACTCATCCTAGATACGTACGGAAATGTACGGATGTTTTTGGATTAAAACTTTTTAGTCACTCAAACAACATGCAGAAAAGAGAGGAGCTTCAATTGTTGACACCTATTACTGTAGTTTGGCGACAAAAGAAATAAACTGATTGGTGGAGTGACTACAAAATCATGAATAAAAACTGAATATACTGAAGCAAGTAATGCTGTGGACTTTTTAATATATTTCTTATAGTGGATTAAATGTTAAATTGTATCATTATTATTATTTCACATTAAAGTAATATCATATTATAATAATATTCAAAATGTTTTAAGATATTTTTTTTGATTTGTAATAGAATTGAGTAAAAAAATATTGTGGTGCCAACGCAAAGGACATACAACATTGTGCACCGAAAACACATAAAAAGGTTTAAAGCGGGTAATTATTTGAATTAATATTTCAATTTCCTTCATCATCATCACCAACAGCCGGAAGACGTCCACGGTCGAACAAAACCTCTTAGAACTTCTCCCTTAGAATGCTATATATCATTTTATTCACTCTTTCACAGTTGAATTAATTTTTACACCTGAAGTAGTGGATTTTAGTTTTCACTTTCACAATCCCAATGTTGTTCATTATTCGAATTATTGTGTATAGGTAGTCTATATCTACACCGTTAGGAAAGACGACTCATTTTTTTTAATATTCAGATTGTAATTTAACGTTAACTTAAAACCAATTAAAACTACAATTAATTGAAAAACAAAGCGGAGCTAATAGTTAATCGCGTGGTCACCCCAAAGCGGATGCGCATGTGTCTGCTTAGCGCCTGCTCGTACAAACGAGGCGGCGTCCGAGGGGCTGTTGTTTTGAAGCCTTCCTAAAAGCTTTCACAGCTTATTTTCACACCGCCGAGCTCGTCGCAGTACATTTCCAAATCGCCCTTACTGAATGCTGCTTAAAAGCATTCTGCATATGTTTATAATTCTTTCCCAACCAAAATGTTTAATCATGTTATTTAGTATTAGTTTTATTATATTTAAAAGTATCATTTTATTCATTTTAAAACTCGCATCCTTTGATCCTGACGTTGTATTAACATAAAATTAAATATATAAATTTCAATGCGTATCTATAAAAAGTTTGGGTTTAATATTTAAAATGTAATAATCTATAGGGAACAGAATATAAATATTATAAATAGTGTAATTTTTCATCATCAATCATAAATTTATAATAACGCATGTTTCTTCCTGTTTCCTCGGCAGAATGTTTGATGTACGCCGTGAACATAAAAATGTTTTATAAACTGTTTGCAGCGACACAATTTTACGATTAAATTCATGCATCAATTTATTCTAAATTGTGATCGTAAAAGATGTATGAGGGAAATGCCAGTATAATCTATAGACGGTAAAGCTAATGTCTAGTAATAGCTATTAGTAGCATCTGTTAAAAATTCACGTATAGAAAATTGTATATTGTATAACGAATCAGTAAGTTTAAGAAAGCATTCTGCAAAACCGTCTATTATCTGTGTAATCTGTATATTCGTAAACTGTGTGCTATCTGTATTATAGACAGATTTTATATTCACTATTGTATTTTAAAACCCAGCCAGTGCCTTGCGCGCAACATTATTTCGTTTTGTTCGAATACGAAATTTTAAAATGCGACGGGCGGACCGAATAAATGGTTAGGAGGCATTGTGCCGCGTGTCGGGATAGGGAGCGGGGAGCAGGTAAGGTTTTTTGCCCGAACGCACCGCTGGGCCACGGGGCACCAGCTGAAAAAAGAACTTTAGATTTATCGTTCTCTGAATGTTCTCATTTGCAGAACACAAGTTTCGGTATAACATACGTACAGATTCTCCTTATATTTTTCATGTTCCTTGTTTGTTACCGAATTGTGGCCATTGAGTCGTCGATGAAGCTGTTTATAGTTTTGAAACTGAAACGTATTATCCAATTAAGATATGCTTTGATAGCGGATCAGTAAGTAAAATAATTATCAGCAAATAATAAATTATTATATAGCAGGCAAACTATTAATAAATTAAATAAGGAATACAAAATATAAAAAAGAAGTAAAAAGAAAGGGTATAAATAGCAAGGAAAGAATGAATATTAAATATTGTATAAATTATTTTCTTTTATTTGGCATTTGACAATTTTTGTCGTGTACCTAAATAATCAGTAGCCGCTTTGAGAACGGTTATATATTGTTTGACCATACTATTATTCTGTGGCTGCAATATTAATTAAAAAAAGTTTATTTAAAAATATTGTGTCTTTATATTCATGAAATGATCGAATCGTCTTTATATTCATGAAAATTGAATGATCGAATCAGGTCAAAAATGGCTCCTGTTTAATAATAATGCTGCGTGCGCCGAGGATCGTGAATCCTAAACAAACAGTGATTTCCATTAATGTCCTACACACGGATGGACAGGCGGACGCCGGGCCGAATACATATATGTATATTTATTGATTTATTGATCGTAAGCAGAAATCCCGACGGTTGTAATTTAAACACGAAACCCAAAAGCCGCCCGAATGCTACGAGCTGGAACAGAAAAACGTTTAGACTGCTTTATGACTGATTGTTTCTTTCTTCAACGTTTCTCAAAGTGAAGGACTTCTTTATAAGAGTTTATTTACTGATTAAGACTTAAGATTTTATGGATTATTTTATGAGTACAATTTTACCTGTGTATTTTTGAGTTCATTATGTCAATAACAAATTATTTAATGTAACCATTCTCAACACAACAGACATACAAATCAACTATGAAATTGTATTTTTAAAATGTTTTTATTATGAAATAATAATATTATTAAGAAACAAACTGTTGAGATAATTTTTTTGTTATTTCATCTTTTTATCAATTTTAATTTGAAATTATTTTCTTTGGAAGATGTTTTCTCATATTTTCGAACTTACAACGTAAGTTTAACAATACTTGGTTTTGTCATAACATTACTAAGTGCTTAAACCAGAAATACGGATGCATTTGTTTTAGTACCCTTAATTTTATAAAAGAGCATCAATTATTTGAAGAAGTAACTAAGAGTAGATTGAAGGGAATTTACTAATGGTAGAGTGTACTCTATAAAATTTGAAAACTTAAGAGTAAGATTTGTCAAAACCTTTAGAAAGTTAAGCCACTCTATATATTTCACTGTTCTGTCTTAAAACTACACAGTTCTGGCTAAGCAGATGCACACGAATTCTCTACGGGATACCACTATCCATCCTTTTACGACTATTTTTGTGTCTTTTTCAGCGATCATTCCCAAATTGGGATATGAGGGTTACTAAAATTAGCTTCATCTGAATATAATATTGTTATTATATTTAATATTATTTCTGTAAGACAATAATACACACACATACATTTAATAATGCGTATCTTATTTCGATAAGTTTATTGTAAACGACCATTCTAAATTACTCCGAATTACCACGAGGAAAATAAAATTTGAGCCACAATTTTATTGGTATGTAGAAAAACTTACACTACCTTAAGTTCAAATCCTTATTTCTTCTTCATATGAGTCTAATTTAGTGAGCTATTAATATTATTTTTATGAAATACCAAATTTTCTGATTTAAAATTTAATTTAACTTAATTTTGTCTTGGTAATATTTTTATTTTATTATGAAACAGTTCCTCCAAAAGGAATTCACCGAGGTGTTTAATAAAAGTGTATATTTAATCGAATAACACATACGCATATTTACCCCGCGATACGATCAGCAGAACCTCTCAACAAAGGATTATAAAACAATTTCATTCAAATGGGGCTAAAAAAATGAGCTAAACTTTATGTAAAACAGACGATTTACGTCGTTATTTATGACTGTTTTAACGAGATTGTTTACATTAACCGAGGCCATTAGCAATTCATAATTTCGTTCGTTCCGTGATCTGATTAACTTAAGTACCTACCCCTTTGTTAGGGTTAGTTGGTAATTAGAACAAAACCTAGTTACCAAAGTCTTAACTGTTGTGAATCGGACTATATTATTTATATTGAACCTTCTCGGCCTCTCCTATCTTCTGAAAGCTTTGAATATGTATATTACATATATTCATATACAGTCTTTACCATCGCGACAATAAATGAACACACATATAGAGGATAACTTTTTAAAATTGTATTAAACATTTACATTCTTTAAACATCAATATTTACAGAGTTATTAAATTTTCCAAAACAAAGAATTTTACAACATCCTTACGTATAAAACCGTAACGTAAAGTTTATTCGTAAAGGTCACAAAGCATGGGTTGAATGAATTTAAAAGAGACAAAACATACTGTTAGAAGGAGAGGCTTGTAATGCGA